TTTCAGTTTGAATGTCTTCCAACTTCCCCTCTTAAGACTTGACTACTCTACAAATCAATCCTGTCAGGATTTTACTTCCTCTTGCATTTTAAAAATTCACTGGCAAGGAAACTTGTTTAAAGTGGATCAAGTCTTGTAAGATATAATATATTTTTAAGGCAAATGGAAGCAATACGTCTAATTTTCCCCATCTTTTAAACCCTGCTTGTACCATGGCCATTGAAAGTCATTTTGACGTTGTACTGTAGTTTGTGGTGGTAGTAACTCTAGTTACTTCATGTAGAGGTAAGACTGACTTCAGATTGTTTCTGGTTGGGCCCACCATATCTGGTATTTGTCAGAGGTAAATGTCATTTAAAATGTTATTAAGGGGGCTCTTGCTCTTGAATAGTTTTGAGAAGGTATTGGGAGATTCAGAATGCTTTACTATGGAAGTGTTTTTCTTTTCTTATTATTTATAAAGCAGTGTTGTCTGAGAAATCTCTTTAAACCAGTCACTGGGTAAACTGCAAGTCACCTGTAATCTCTGACAGAAGAAAAGGAGCATGTGATTTTTACTGTACAGCCACAGTTCCTTCCAGCTATCACATTCATCTCGTGTGAATGCTATGGAGTTTCTTAGTGGTGAATGTCCAGAAAGACTTCTACCTACCAAGAGGAAGAAATATTCTCATTTAAGTCAGTTCCCATGAGTCACTTATTACTAGCTTTTTCTAACACCAGATGCTTTTGCATTAGAATGTAAAAAGTAATGCTTTGGTGTTTTTTTCCTTTTTATGTCTTCCCACTAGGTGTGTGAGCATCTGTTCGTTGGCTTTCAGCATGGATGGCATGTTTCTGTCTGCATCCAGCAACACAGAGACAGTGCACATCTTCAAACTTGAGACTGTGAAAGAAAAGTAAGTTTCAGATATGCCTTAGACTTCTCAAGGAAATGGAAAAAACAGGATGAGCTCTTCAAAGAGCGAACAGACTTCATTTGAACACTTTGTAAAATAAAGGACATGACAAATCAGTAATGAATCAGCAGCTGTTCCTGATCTACGTATTGTTCTTGTAATTAATAGGATAAGTATTGCTGCCAAAGAGGAATTGGGCATCCTTGGCAGAGGAATGTGAGGGTAATTTGTTTTTATTTATATTTTTTTCACCTCTGACATCCATTATGAAAGATCTGTCTCAGCAGAACTTTCCAGCTGCCTACATGATTCTAAAAAGCACCATGTTGTAAAATGTTTCTATTTACAGTTTGAGAAGACAGTCTTATTTATAACTTTTGTTGGAGACGGTGGTTTGGTTATTGATTAAACAGGTGAATAATATCTACTGTAAAGAGCTGCACTTCCAGATCTTATTTTTGTATAATAACCGTTATGAAATGCAGCTGTATAAACAGAAGTATCAATTTACAATAGGACATGCTTTAGCAACAGGCCGAGGGTATTATAGGACATACTGTGCCCTGCCGTGTAAATTGAGTGCATTGAGTTCTCAGGGCTGTCAGTAATCCCTGAAGAAAAACAAATAACTGTTTAATCTCTTTCAAAATGAAAAGAGCTTTTGAAGTATTGACCCACCTTTTTCTCCATTTTGAAGTCAAAGTTGGACACATCTTTCTTATTTCTTCCAAATTGTAGACCTCAGGAAGAGCCTACAACCTGGACAGGTTACTTTGGAAAAGTACTGATGGCCTCTACAAGCTATCTGCCCTCTCAAGTAACAGAGATGTTCAACCAGGGTAGAGCCTTTGCTACAGTCCGCCTGCCATTCTGTGGGCACAAAAATATCTGTGCACTTGCCACGTGAGTAAAGAAATGGTGCTTGCATTCACCACCCACTGGGTTGCCACACAGAGCTACAGAAAAGCAGACACTGTAGGGTGTATTTCCACTCCAGCTGAGTGGATAGCACACAGAGGAATGGATTCTGCAGTGCTTTCAGAGCCTCTTCTGGCTTAAGAGCTGTGTTTTGGAGCTCACGGTCCTGTGAGAGACAGAGAGGGAAGGACGCAGTGTTTGGATAAGCAGCAGACTATTAAAGAGTTGTTTAAAGATGTCTTTTAATTTTCAAAGAAGTCTGTAGAGAACAGATCTGTAGGCTTAAGGCATTTACTTTGCTGCAAAGCAATTTGGACTAACGGTTAAAGAAGTCCTTGAAAGCAAGTCCGTGTTGTTCTTGTCTCTAGAACTGCATAGCATTCATTAGAGTTAATTTTGAGAACTCAGTATAACCTTTTTTGTCATCTCTGAAGGCAGGACCCATTTGGCACATCTACCTAAGCAATGAGCTGAGCAGTAGTAAATTTATTTTATGGAGATTCTGGAGTTTGTGTGCTTAATTTGCTTGATGTCTGTGTTTCTCTCCCCTGATCTCGAAGCATCCTTTAAGCAATAATTAAACATTGTAACATTTCGGAAGAGAGTAAATACTTCTCCACAGACAAATACTGTAATCTGTTGTGCAAAGCTGATACCAGGACAGTAACTTCTCAATTTGCTTTCCTGGGTTATGTGTAAACTGCTCGATTCCCATGGCATCCTATTAGCCCCATTGTGGTTACGCCTTATTTTTGCATGTAGTTGTTTCCTAAGTGTTCTGTCTGTGCAACTGTTAGCAGTATTGCCTATCTAGGAGAAGCAAGTGTGGAAAATAATGGCTTGAAATCATAGGAGAGGAGGAGAGGGTGCTGATAGGAAACTGAAGCTCTCATTAATTTCCTCTGAACGCTCCTAGAATTCAGAAGATCCCTCGTTTATTGGTGGGAGCTGCTGATGGGTATCTCTACATGTACAACCTAGACCCCCAAGAAGGTGGAGAGTGCACATTAATGAAGCAGCACAAGTAAGTTCATATTAGTTGAGGACTGTTGCCTTTTATTGCTTCACAAAATTCAGTTTGTTCTTAAACTTAGTTCCATGCTGCAGAGGTCTAACTTAGAAGAGCTCGTTTTTTTAAAACTGGCTTGTTATCAGACCTGACATGAATGAGTAACTTCAGAATCCCCTTGTGCCATCCTTCCATGTATCTTCTACACTAAGCACTGCTTTACCAGCAGAAACTTAACGCTGTCCAACTGCAGTGAAGAATCAATTGCTGTTAGCTGCGTGATCCTATTTCCTCTTTCTCTGCAGTTTGAGTTCAGTTACTTTGACAAGAACCTGAAACATCTGACACCATTCCCTTCATCAATAAATCAAGTAGTTAGAGAAATGAGAAAGTGTTACTCTAACTTCGTGGAGGGAAATCTGGCCTATGAAATTTTATCTGTATTCTCTCTCTCTCGGTGCCCTTATTAAAATTCCTTGCATGTAGACCAGCCAAATAATGTTTTGTAGCAGTACTGTAGAATACTTAAGGAAATATGACAGGGCCTTGTTGTTTTTTCTAAGATTTGAAGGGAACAGATAGGGTAATATAATTGCTTTACTTACATGATCAATCATAAAATTAAATCATGGTGTGATATTACATATCCCTTGCATTATGACAGAAGCACACGGAATTGGAAATGATAACTGCCTTCCCTGAAGAGGCCGCATTCTTCCTGTTGTATTCATGCACGTCTAATGAGATATTCTTGTGTAGCTGTCAGCTAAAGCTGTGTTATGTCTAGGCAGATCACCTCTCCAACTAACACTTCTCTTGGTAGGCTCGATGGCAGCATGGAGCCAGCCAACGAGATCCTGGAGTCTGCATCCCATGACCGGCCGTTGGTAGCACAGACGTACAGTGCTGCTGTGACTAAAGGTACATATGTGCCTTCCTCACCCACAAGGCATGGTAAGGAGAAGGCTGGAAACGGGGCAGAGAGTGCCTCTGCATGTTGCTTCATTCTAGATGGCTGCGTGAGCTCGTCTGCTTCAACGCTGAGCTTTTCATAACTATGAGTGTGATGTGAAGCACTGGTGAGTGGTAGGAGAAGAGCACTCAATGTACGGCAGCTTTCTGTAGATGAACCACTCATCTTTGCTAGTTTCTGGGTAGAGAGTTGTCTTGAACTGTGTTCAGTTACTTTAGTAGTAGTTGCAATACTTGCCAAATGGTTCTTGAGATGCTGTAATCAGTTTATGAAGGAGTTCTGAACCCAGACCTCCAGCAAAGCATCTGAATTTGTAGCACTTGTGTTTGTCTGTGATGTTGTGTTCCTGTAGTTCCCTATGGCAGTTGTGACCTTTAAGCCTGATTTGCTGCTCTGTTAAGTTGAGAGGATGAGAATTCAGTTAATGCTGGAGTTCCCAAGTGAGTAGAGCTTGTGTATATGGCTCTTAGCATCTTTGTATAGCACTTGGGTTAATGTTTCAGCTGTGGAGGAAGCACAGTCTGCACATGCAGCATCAATTCCGCCGTTGCAGCTGTAATGGATGGGTAGAGAGTATAAAAACATAACTGCCCCGAAGCAACAATATGCGTTGCACACATGTAGAGTAATCACAGACTGCTCTTGGCTTGGAGAAACATGGTCATAATGAAGGCAAACATAGGGTGGCAGTGAAACTGTTGCAAATAACGTCTGGTACTTCAGCTGGAATCTGCTTTGTTGGATCCAAGCCTTAGTTTGTGCTGCTGATCATCAAGCTACTTCTCCCTTTCTTTGCAGCTTATACGGATGACCTGGGAGCTGTGGGTGGAGCTTGCCTGGAAGACGAAACCAACTCACTCAGATTGGATGAAGACAGTGAGCATCCACCCATGATCCTTCGGACAGATTGAACTTTGACCTGTGAACTCACTCCTGAAGCAGAGAACACTGGCTTGATGTTTCTTGAGGAATCTCGTGTTATGCTGCTATGAACTTTGACATGAGTTGGGAGAGAGGATGACAGACTCTTACAGTTTTAAGTCGTAGCTGTAGTTCTAATTCTATACCATTGGAAAAAAATATATGGTTTTCAATTCAGTGGCTTTTAATCTTGCTTATCTATTTTAGCTGTGTTTTTTGTTGTTTTTTTTCATTGCCAAAACCTGCTGTTTGTGCAGCCCTCGGAGCCTACTAGCTTTGCATGCGTTCATGTGCCAAGCAAGCATAGGAGGGGGAGAGAGAGAGAAGCCACTTTATAACAAACTCAAGTTTGTATTTTTTTTATATATGTATATAATACTTAGCTTATATGAGGAAGGAGTAGAGAAGTGGTTTTGGAAGCTGAGACTAGTTCTGCACTGACAAAGGTCCAAATGGTTTCCTGTGCATGGGCTTGCAGGCATACCTAGTGACTGACATGCAATCTTTCAAATGCAACGGCCTGTTTTTTTTTTTTTTTTGGGTTCTCCCTCCCCTTTCCTGGACCATTTTGTTAATTAAAATTCCTTCTGAATGTTGTGTATTTGTGGGAGTGTTCTGTTTGTTGGCACTGAAAACTGGAAATGTTTCCCTGCGTAAGGATATAGAATCTAGAAAGTGCCTTTACAGGGAGGAAGAGAATTGCTGCAGAAAGAAAGCTAGAAGGAAAGAGGGATTGCTAGAGGCTTGTTTGTACACCTCTAGTACTTGGGAATCTGTAGCCCACAGTGGCTGATTTTTGTTTTCTTTTTTTTTTTTTAAGGACTTGGGATGCACTTTCTCTCCTGTAGATTGTTCTGTTTCCTTGGCAGAGTAGCAATAACTTTTTTTATACTTTTATTAATTATCCAAAGCAATGATTCTATCAGACTGGATGGAAGCTCCTGCAGGGTATGGCAGCCCTATTATTTGAACAGCCTTAAGGTTTTCAGCTAGAAGGCATAACTCAATCCTTTCTTCTCTTCAGTCTGGAGCTGACTGTACTGCTCTAATAGTGAAGGTTTGGGGCTTTTTTTCAGATACTGATGTAAATATAAGTGATTTTGAAAGATTAATTTTCTTCTGGGTTCTCTTCTGTTGGATAACCATGCTCTTCTTTTTATTTCCCTTTCTGTCAGAGTACCTCCTGTGTTACTCTCCAAGGACTGGCTGTCTCTGGCAATTTTGGAATAAATGCATAACAGCCCTGACCCTGGCTGGGGCTGTCCAAGGCTGAGCAGTGCTGCAGTCTATTTTTAGGGTTGTAATGTGCCTTCTTTAAGTCTTGGATAACAGTTAGTGAACAAACGATTAGCAAAGTACTTGGTGAGTGTGACTTTCCTTTGCCAAAATGAACCTGCTTTGCCTTTTGTGTAGCGCTGTGGGATGCTTCATTTGGCTCTACTGACTATTTGCAAAGAAGTGAAAATAGAAGTAGACAAGGAAACTGCAGATCTTGAGGGCAGGACAGAACCCTGACTTAACTGTGTATGTGAACTTCCTACCACTGCTAAATGGTGACGTGCTTTTAGGCTTTTGGTACCATTAACAGGTCTTCTGTCAAGCGGTGTCGATTGGTGGCTGTTCTTCTCAGAGCACTCTGTGGTTAGGTGGGATTCCATTTCATTTAAGAACAGAAGACAGTGATAGCTCCTGCCTAAGGGAGCTACCTGTATCAGTGAGGCTGCTGTTACCATTCTTCTTCTACCAAACTTCTGGGAAGTAAGGGATCAGGCTTGTGTATTCACTGAAAACCCTTGGCTGTCCTAAACAGTTGACTTGATCGATTTGTGGCATCCTCTCCACAATCCAGCACATTTGAAGCAAACTGCTGAGCCGTGCTGAAATCTCATACAGTCTCCTGACTTTAAGCTCTGGCTGACAACTAAATTCCATGATCTGGAATTACTTTTTTTTTTTTTACTAGTGCTATCAGCTTTGCTGTGAAGCACCAAACTGCAGAGTAAAATACAAGTCTTAAAGTAAATATAAGCTCGATGAGCTTTGCTGGCAGACTGAACCCCACGGGTGCTGTCAGATGCCTGCTTGTTCCAGACTAAGGCTGGTGACATTCCTGATAATGTACCTGGAGGCTTGGCACAGAGTCTACAAACAGAGTTAAGCAGTCAGCATACATGAGCAACACGGGTATGCTAAGCACAAGTGTTAAAACTTCTGAGTTGTAACAAAGGCCATATTACAGAGCAAGATACTGCTGTCACCTTTAATATGTTTGCTATCTTTTACTGCCAAAAATTGAGATACTTAAACAGATATTAATCCTTAGTTTTTACACCTGGATATTTTCCATTGGTGAGTTGGGAGATTCTGTATTCACTGTAGTTTTCTTCTGTGTGCTGTAGTTACCCTCCTTCTGTGCTACAGACTGACTGGTGACACACTGTGCCCTGTTTGCTTTGCTCCTAATTGGAAGCCTGTTAAAGTTGTGGGTTTTTTTCCTGTTTTAATAAGGAAGGTCTTCTTGGAGATAGAAGAGAAAGAGAAAGTAGAAATGTTCTGGGGTGAGTGAGCAACATGGAGCAGGGGGTGTCTGGTCCCAGCTGATGGTGTGTTTAGCATGAGTGATGGTCAGTGGTGTTGTTCAGGTTCATTATATGAGGATATATTTTTTTTTTTCTTGGATAAACACAACTAATCTCATTTCTCTCTGATGGCCTTAGGCCCTCAGTAACTGCCCTCCTGTGGTATGCTACCAAAGTTTCCATTCCTTCAGGATGGGGTTTCATCCCAGTTATGCAAATACATACTTAATTTTTTCCCTTTAAACATACCAGAAATGCTGTTTGCAGCTGTTTCCTCACCTCAGGGTGGAGCTGAACTCACTGCTCTGTGGATCAGGTGGTGCCAAGCATTTCTATTCTGATGGTCCTACAGCCCCAGATTGCCCAGGGTAGCCTGGAGGTGGCTGTGTGGGCTGGTATGGGAACAACCATACAACTTCTCATTGTAGGCTGACCTTCCTTGGAAGGATGGTGCTTGTTTTGTGTCAGTGAGCATCTCTCTCTGGATATGGACTGTACCTCTTGATCCTTATGAAGTGTTAGGGACAGAAATGGACAACAGAAACAACCAAAGCTGGGGTAAGGGGGAGAGGATGAGAGGGGAGGGGAGAGGGGGGAGGGAAATGCTTTTAAACTTGGAATCTGAAACTCAGGTCTTAAATTGCAGTGGGATCTGTTCCCAGTGAGTACTGTAGAGAAAGAGCTGTCTCACTTGATGTGCAAATAGGCAGCAAGTGTGCACGCTTTGCTGCTGTCTCGACATCTGTGTGTTTACCCTATTTCATCTTTCATGTTCTGAGGCAGACAGCTTTTATCTGCTCTGGACTCTTATGTCAGAGTTTCCAAAACACGAGCGATAGATACACATCTAGCAGTTACAAGGCTGGGCCTGGCAGAGGAGCAGGAAGTTAAAAGTGCAGTGAGATTAGCAGAAGCTGTTTCTTCAGTGACTCTGTTCAGCAAGACCAGTTGTGTGAGTTCTCCCTCTGGCACCGCTTTGCCTCTGGTCCTGGGTGAGTTCCTTACACCTATTTCTATGGAGATTGGTTGGGAGCAGAGGGGAGGGGGCTGTTCATGTGTTCCTCAGTGCAAATCTCTGAGAGAGCTCTGAGCACAGGGACGGGTGTCTCCACAAAGGGAACGTGTGTCTGATCTGTGTGTAATAGTAAAAGGGAGGGATGGACTGAGGAGCCCCCAGGTCTGGGTAGGTTAGCACAGAGACCTGAGGAGCTGATGAGCAGAAAGCTTTGTTATGTCCCATGCTGTGCTCTCTTGGCTCTAATAATGGCATTAGCACCAAAGCAACGTGCAGTAAGACTGTAGAATTTCCTTCCTTATAGCTTGCTAAGCTGCTCACTGTACCACTTAGACGTGCAGGCGTTCTGCTGGTGTTTGCAGAGCAACAGGAGGCTTTGTCCAAAGCGTTGGTGGAGATTAAGCACTGCAGAGATTTGTTCTGTGCTCCAGATGTCCTGGCTAACAGTCTCCTTGGTTTAACATGTTAATATCTGAGAGCAAGGCAGAATGGCATCTCCACATGTGCAGAGCAGTCTTTCTGGAATCTGTGCTGCACAAAGGCTTGCAATGAAGAAAGCATGGCTCAGACTGTAAACACATCCTTTCAGATTCCAGTTGCACAACCAAAGGAATTGAGCAAATTCCAATTATTTCAAACTGTAACATGCCTTTGTTTTTACCACACTTCAGATTGGCCAACCACATCTTACACTGCCTTGAAAATAATGGGTGAGAAGTCTTCATCCTGGCTTGCAAATAGCTGCAGCTGTGCTCGTTGCAGGTGTGCTGGTGCTGTGGCTGCAGCAGTTGTGTGCTGCCTTCCCTGCTGCCCTTGCATGTGTCCGACTCGTTTCTCAGGAGTGGTGAGTCGTTCCCAAACCTGCACCTCTCCAGGTCCCTATGGGGCAGCAGCTCAACCCTTTCCCTACTTGGATCTGTTTGCTTTTGCTTCTGCACCCCCCCCAAAAAACCGCTGCATCCTGCAGTTCTCACCTACTGTTCAATATCTCTGTTGATAATTGGAAAAATCTGCCTAACATTCCGCCTCCCCAGGTGTGTGGCTCTCACTGCTGGCCCATCGCTCTTTGTAATTTTATAACTGCATAAGCAATTAAATGTGTTGTGATAAGTATTCTGTGTCGTCTTCCTTTTGTGTGCTGCTTGGAGGTGGGGCCGGACGAGCTGAAGGTGATGCTGTGTGTTCTGGCTGCTGTGGCTCAAACCCAACTGCCAGCAGTAATAAACCTTCTATCTTTGCTGTGCAGCAGCTCTCAAAAAAAACTCAGCTTGACTTTTGCTGAGACAGGGGAAGGACCAGCTGAGCTGCTTCTGGTATATTTTGCTTGAAACCACAATTTTACCCTTCCTCCTCCTTAAAGCTCTTCTTGAGGGACTTGGGTTTGTGTTTTTCTCCCTCAGGTGAGTTTAGGTGACTTCCTTTATACTTCATTCTGTGGGTTGCATCTGTAGCAATGTTTTCACGTATGTTCCCTGCTTGCTGTGCTGTCACTCAGAGCTTGCTGCTTCTCACCTTCAGCCCAGGGGGGAGTTCTGGAGTGAGCCCTGCAGGTGGGTGAGGTGACACCTCCTGCATGCATCTTTTCCTTTGCAGAACTGTGACAAACCCTCCAAGCAGGGTGGGTGACAGAGGGAGCCTGCTCTGTCTGGTGGTGGAGGAGCACATGGTGATGGAAGGTCTTTATTCTTCTGCATGACTGTTGTGCAGTGAACTCAGTGAAGCTGCAGACGTCTCCTCTCCTGATCTGGCTCTGGAGAGCAATGTTGGTGCCATTTATGTGCTGTCCCTTGCTGCAGGCAGAATCAGCTGTGTTAGCACGGATGAGTGATTCTAAACTGTTCATTCAGCTGCTGATGACGTTTCCCTTCTTCTGCCTGGAGCAAGCTGCGGATCAGAGAAGGCTGTTTGCATTCAGTGAGTGGCAGTGACTTCCAGGCAAGGTGGTGGCACCTTTGTCCCTGTGCCCAAGGTGGGGGTGCTCACCTGGACCCATTGGTGGCACAGGAGGTGCAGCTGCTGCCCTGCATATGGATCACTGCAAAGCATCATCAAAGGTGAACCTTTGAGCCAGAGTGCTGCCTATATAGAAATCCTAACGATAGGTTCATACCATTGAAGCAAGCAGCTGCAGTTGTGTTCAGGCTGGTGGTTTGCCTGTGTGTGCTTATCCATCCCTGAGCACACACCTCTCATGTGCTGCTTCTGTCCTGCACAGCTCTGCCAGGCCTTTAGCAGAGACTTCTTCAGCTAATTAAAGGTGTGCTGTGAGCTAATGAGGGCTTCCTGCCCAACCTGCTGGAGGTGAGGAAATGTGATGCTGGCTGTTCCAGCACCTGGGTGCACTTTTTCTTTTCTTAGCAATAAGTTTTTAGAAGGCTGCACAGTGAGGTTACAAGAAAGGATTTCAGATCTGTAAAATCCAGGTAAGCCCATAATGTTAAGCCAGAGGATTTTGACAGTACTGTGATGTTCTGAGTGCTTTTCCAGGGGCAAAAAGCCCTGAGAGAGCTGGCATGGGCTGCTGTGAGGTGTGCTAAGGAGTGCTGAGCGATGCAGAGCAATGGCTCTGCGCGGTATGGAGGCTGTCACTTTTGGGTGCCCCCACCCGTAGGTCAGCACTGGCAACCATGAACACGGAGCTGTGCCGGGGGTCGGGGGGGAGCCGGGCTCTGCCGCCCAGCAGCCGCTAGATGGGGTGTGCTGCGCGGCCCGGAGCAGCCCTGCTCCTTCCTCAGTGAGCATCCATCGCATCCATCCCTACTTCTTTCGTCCCTTCCCCTCCCCACAGCACTTCTCTGCTCCCCATCCATGCGCCCTGTTTGCTGCGCCCTTAATGCGTGCGTGCTCAGATCCCCTTCCCAGCACCAGCGTTGGGTGCCACGAACAGGATGGGGAAAATTGCTCCGTGTTCAGCCCAGCCCCAGAGCTGCCCGGGGAGCAGAACGGCTGGCAAACAGTGCAGGATGCTGCATGGCCAGCACAGCTGGGGACTGTGAGCCCTTCCTTACCCCATGGCAGATCTCTGCTCTGAGCCCCAGCGCTGCCCTGCAGCCCTTCAGCACCCTGTGACCCCATTGGGTGGCACTGAGCATCTCCTTTCCCTTTCAGCCCAAAATGACTTCAAAACCCAGAGCAGGGAGGCAGAGATGAGAGCCTCATCTCTTTCCTTCTTCACCACTCAGGTGTGGAGCAGACTTTCATGTCTCCCGAGGCCATTTGCATTTCAAGCAGTTGGGTGGCGATTTCTCTTTCAATAACTGATTTCAGATGGAGTTGGAAGCCAACTGATGCGCTGCGAAAGATGGCCTCTGCAGCCCCAAAGAGCAGCCACTGCCAGCCCTGCTGCAGCTGCACACCCTGAGCCCATCTCCAATCCCATCCTGGAGGGCCCCTCATGCACCAGGAGGGAAAACATCCCCACCTCCCTGCAGCTCCGGGTTGCCATCGGGATGCAGCACATCAAGGCCCTGTAAATCAAATATTGCACCCCCCTCCCCAAACCCAAAAAAAGCAACCTGCAGCCCATTGCCTGCCTGGATTTGGGGTGTGCTGTGCTCTCATGATGTTGTCTCAGCTGTGCACAGGGCACGGCCCCACGCTCAGTGCTCTGCTTGTTTGTGTCGGAGCTGCGTGAGCTGCTGCACTCTGGGATATTCAATTACCTCCGGAGTGCTGCAGCAATGTCAGCTTGTGTTGGAGCAATGGGGAGCTGGGGGTTGGGTTGGGGATCTGGGAGGCTGGTTTTGTGTGGGTTTTTTTTTGTTCCTTAAATAGCTTTTAAATGGAGCTGGACCTGGGTAGAGCAGTGCAACAGCGTGAGAAAAGAGGGGGGGAAACAGATACATAAATGGCTGTGTTTATAGGGGATGCGATGGACGGGAAGAAAAACCCCCTCCCCCCAGTAAGATTTTGGGTGGGAGGTCCTAATGTGGTTTTTTTTGGGGGGGTCCCACTCACCCCCAGCAGTGTTGGCCCTGCAGCCCCTCAGGTCTGTCTGCAAACAGCTGCATGTGCTGGTGGTTGCGCAGTTGATGGCATAAATACATAATTCTGTTCTTATTCAATTAGGATTTTAGCACACAATCAGGTGATCGCTCTAAGAGGATTTCCTCTAAGGCGGGATTTGAATAACTGGGCTGTGAATTATGTATTCCCTTAACCGGTTTATTCCTTTATCAGATTTTTTTTTCCCCCTAAGCACTTTAATGCATTGACTTCCCCATTGTCCCCGCTATTCGCAGCGCTCCCCATAGCTGATGCAAATCCCCCCCCCGTGAGGTGGTAACGTGCAGTGTGTGCCAATGGAGCCCAACCCTTTGTGTGTGCTGCGGTTTGTGGAGGCTGGGTGCTGTGTTTGTGGGGCTGGAAGTGGCTCTGATGCTCAATGGGGAGCCTATGGCCCAGCCCTGGGGGGTGCAGTGCCAGAATTGGAGGGGGGTTGGTTGGTGTGGGGGTCTGTGTTCGGATGGGAGAGGTGGAGTGGGGCACAACCCATGTGTCAGCAGCAGGGCTGTGCACCCTGCGTGGGCTGTGGGTGACAGGAAAAGCAGATTTTCCCCCCAAACAGTGCCATTGGGGCTCAGGTCTGCTACACTGCCCCGTGGTGCTTGGGGTGGGGGGGCTTTGGGTTGGGGTTGGATGCAGTCAGTGTGTGGTTGAGCGCCCATGGGGTGCAGAGGGTTCACTCTGGAGCAGTGTGGAGATGGGAGGGCAGAATGTGCTGATCTCCAGGAATGGCCCCTGGGCTGTGCTGTACTCCAGTTCTGTGGTTTCCCCGTGTCCAGAGGAGCTCAGGTTGTGCTGGAGGTCCTTTGAGATCAGCATGGGGGAAAAAGCAACTCAAAGGTGGATCCTGGGGGGTGTCACCATTTTCTGCTGTTAGAGGAAAATCTCTGCTTTCCACCTGCTCTGTAAAGAGCCGGGATGAGTGGGAGCTGCTGGAGGGCCCCCCCTGTGCACCCAGTGCTGATTGTCTCCTTCACATCCCCCCCTGTGCTGTGTGTGCGTGCAGCGATTATGCAAAGTTGCAATCAAGGAGCTGAATTAGCAGCTCATCTTGGATTAATTAGCGAGGGATGCAAATTTGTTCTAACAAGAAAAGAGGAAAGGAGAGGAACAAGGCTGAGGTCCCTCCTGGTTCCTGCAGCCCTCACAGCACAGTGGTGTGGGCAGAGGGATGTGCTGTAATGGGGTAACCCCCAAAGTGCAGCGCTGTCCTTCAATCCCCAATAAATCTGTGCAAAGGCAATGCTGGGGGGTCAGCGTGCATTTCAGAGCAGCCTTGGGAGAAGGATGCGGAGGCTGCAGTGTTGGTTAAAGAAGGGTTTCCAGGAGGGGAATGAATGAGGAAAGCACCATCATGGTCCCATGAAGTGGAAGAGATGGAAGCTTGGCGTTCCTGGGAGCACTGAGCTGGGCTGTGGGCCCGGGGGCTCGGTGGGGTCTGGTTTGGCAGTGTGATGGGATGCTCCTGAAAGGTTTCTCTTTTCTCTGCAGTGATGACAGTTAACAAAACCCAACTCTGCTGGAAGGAAGAGCACACCAAGGGGCATTTCTGGAGGCTGCCCCCATCCAGCATCTCCCGGCCAAATGAGATGGCATCGCCTCATTCCTCCCTGTGGAATTAATCAGCGCTCAGAGCAGTGAGGTGAGGCCCTGATGGGAAAGGGAAAAAATGCCTCCAAACCTCTGCGCTTTGCAGCCCGAAGCACTGACATTTGGTGAGGGATGCTCTGCTGTTTGATGGCCCAGGGGAGGCTGAGCTGTGGGATGTCCCCAGTGCCATTGGGACCGGTCCAGCATCGCCCTGCTGCATGCAGAGCACTGCAGCTGGTGGGAGTTTGGGCCTTTAAAGTGGGTCAAGCGGAAACCCGGGGAGCATCCAAGCTCACAGCCCTCGTGCCAGCTCCATCACAGCTGAATTATTCAGGTCCAGCTGAAAAATTGAAGAGTGGCAAAGCTCAGTGGGAACACCCAGCTCGGGGCCTGCAGCAGAGCCCCATACCAGCACAGGGCGTCGTGGGAGGGCAGCAGGGTCTGGTGCTGCCTTTTGGGAGGGTGAAATGAGGAGAGAACGCTCAGAAGGGATTCATGGCAGGGCTGCCCCGAGCTGCAGAGGTTTCTGTGTGTTTGTTGCTGGGGTTGGAAGCACGTCTTTGGCTCCAAGCCTGCCTCCAGCCCCGTCTCTGTGTTGCAAATAGCACTGTGGCCTCATTTCAGCCCTGTGTGCATATCCTGGGGTTGCTTTTGGGATTTGCACCTCTGACAGCATTGAGTCAAAGGGAGTTGGCAAACTCCTCCTTCCCTGAATTGGAAATGATGGGGTTGTGTGATTTCAGGGTAAAATCAGGGCTGCTCCCTGCCTCGAGGTGTGTGCTCACAGCATCTCCCAGAGCCCCAAATACACTCTAAGGCAGTTAGGATGCTGACATGAGCTCGGAGGCTTTTGTGGGACCCACAGCTTCTATAGGACCCCTGACTTTTAGCTGTGTGGCAGAAGAGCTGTGACTGCTGCTGGGTGAGTAATGCTGCCGGCAGTGCGGAGGCAGCAGGGAAAAGCCGTGCACAGATACTGCAGCTCGCCCTGCTCTTTTTGTGCCGTGCTCACAGCGTGGTGATGCCAAGCTGGGATTCTTTGGTGTCTCGTAGGGTTGTTCTGCTCCATCCCTGCCCTGGTGGTGGGGTTGTGGGGGTCCCCCCTCCCCCATCTTTACAACCCAATTGGGGCTGAGCGCTCCTGCCCTGCTCAGGGTGGTGGGACACTCGTGCTGTCCCTGCCTGCAGCACCCTCCTTGGGGTCGTGCATCCTCTCCCCAGATGTGTCCCCACCATGCTGCTGGTTTCCCACTTTCAATCCCAGTGGTGAGGAGGAGAAGGGGCTTCCCAATTCACTGCCCCCACAACCCTTCAGTTTTCTGCATGCTGCTAAACAGAGCTGCATCACCTCCATCTTTGGAGGCATTTATGGCCAGGTTGGACAGGGGGGCAACCAACACACAGCAGGGGGGTTGGAACTGGGTGATTTTTGATGTCCCCAACCTGTGCGATGCTTTTGTCCATCAGCCTGTTGTTCTCTCCATCCATCTGCCCACCTCTCCAGCCATCCACCATAACTGTACATCCATCCATCCTATCCATAAATCCCTCCATATGTCCATGATGTCCATGCACTCTCCCTCTACTTCTACCCATCCATCCTGTCTGTACATTCATCCATCCATCCCTCTGTCCATCGTGCAGAATTTTTGCTGGAGATGTTCAAGAAACACGTAGATGTTGTGCCAAGGGATGTGGTTTAGTGGGAAACACTGGTGATGGGTGGCCTGTTGGACTGGCTAATCTTGGGGGTCTTTTCCAGCCATGTTGATTCCATGATCATCCATCCCATCCCTGCATCCATCCACTTTGGAACAGCCAATGCTGGACCCCTCGGTCCATCTCATGTTTGGAGGGGAAGAGAGAGCTCCCCGCAATGGGAGCGAAGCTTGTGTTCTGAATGAAGCGAGGTACGGTTTCTCGTGTTGACGAATGCTCCGTTTGCAGCCCCGCAGCTCTGGGCGGTCCCTATAGGCGGTCCCTACGGGCCGTGTCTACAGGCAGAGCCGTGGACGCGCTCCGTTCGGCAGAAAAGCCATTTCAGTGCCTCGGGGCCATCGCTGCCGGGGAGGGGCGGCGGAGGGGTGGGGAGGGGCGGGAGGTGGGGACGGAGCCGCCCCCGCTCGGAGCCGCCGCCGCGTTCGCCGGTGCCCCCACCCCGAGAACGGAGCTCCGCCATGGAGGGGCCGGGGGGATCCGCCGGGGGCTGAGGCGGCTGGAAGGGCCGGTGCCGCAGAGCTGGCGCGGAGGAGGGAGGTGAGAGCGGTGCCGACCTGTTGGGTGAGAACGGGACCGGCTTTGTCTGGGGCTGGGGGGGAAACGGGGCTGGGCGGCGGGGAGGGAGGGGAGGGAGACGAACCCCTTCCTCAGACCCCCCCCCCTCTCCTCCCCCAGCATCCTCACCTCGACCGCGCATCTCCTCCGGTGGGGTTTGATGAATTCCCAAGATGGGGAGCCTTTTTTTTTGCCAGAACAAAATAATCACGTTGATAAAATCATCCCCCGTGGAAGCGCCTCCTTTTGTCAAGGACCCTTTTCCCAATTATAATAATCATCCTCTCATCCCCTCCGGGAGCATCCTCTGCTCTGTCCCTCACTCTGCACCCACCCAGAGAGGTGACAGGCCCTGGCCCTCATCCCTGTAGATCCAAAAGGGAAAATAAGATTGATTGATCCCGGTGTGTGGATGCAGGGGTGGCTGTGCAGCTCATCCCGTACCATGGAGAAGTTCGGGGCAGCACTGTTATCTATGGGGTGCTCCCAATCAGTGTGATCTACTGGGATTCTTTTGGGTAAAAGCCCCACACTGGGCTCTGCCAGCACCCTGGGAGAAGCTTCCTGTTGGGTTTTATCTCCTGGGGTAGCACCAGTGGATGGGGTCATCCAGATCTCCTGTGAGCAATGAGATGGAGCGATGCTCTCACTTGAAACGTGCCCTGATGGGGCTCCAGGATGAATGCTGCCTTCAGCCCGGGTGTGCTGGGGACCCTGACCTGCCCCCCCAGCACTACGACTTCTGCATGGCCTCAGGGCCACAGCATCTCCGCTCTGCCTGATGCGTTTTAGCATTTAGGCTTGCACTTGCAGGCTCTGTGTTCGCAGCCCGCCCCATCCTGGCAGCAGGGAAAGGCTGCAAAACCTCCGTGTCCCTGCGAACACCGCGTCTCGCGGCGAGATCAGACAAATCACTTGCATTGATTTTTTTTTTTTTCCTGCCTCGTCCTGCCGCCTCCTCGGAGGTTCGTCTCTGCAGGGCGGTCGGTGGGCAGCGGGCACGGGGCAGGCTGGCATCTAGCGACTGGCACCGGTAATGCAGAGCGGGGCCCGGGGGATGGAGGGCATTTCGGGTGGTGCTGCAGGATGCCCGGTGGTGAAGCTCGGCTTGGGGTGGTCTCCCTCCCTGCGGTCTGAACCAAAACCCACGAGGACCCTCGCTCACTTGTGACCCACAGCCTGGGGTCTCTCCTATCCTTCCCCAGACCGTCTGCGATGGGATCGGTGGGAACAGAGCACCTCAAAGAGCTGAGCCCGATGGGGACACCCGAAGGCAACGTGGTGATGAGCTTCAGCTTCGACAGCTACCAGCTGGAGGAGGACGAGCTGCAGCGGGGCAGCCAGGCCAAGGGCGTGCTCACCTTCATGGAGCCGGGTGAGGGATGGCATGCGATGGGAGGGAGGGAGGGAGCTGCCTCTCCCTGTGCTTTTCCCACCCAGTTAGGAGATCCTGGGATGGTTTCGTAGCCACAAATGGTCTGTAATGCTGTGACGTCAACTATTGTCTCTTTGGGGCTTGCTATTGTAGTCACCGCAGCATCCTGTAGCTCTGGGCTCTGTGGTTGGTGCTCACCAGGTCTCTCCCCACACCGGCAGTTTTGGGGCTGCTATAAAAACCCATCAGCACTCAGAGCCCTCAGCTCTGGTGTTTTTCTGCCTCTCTCTAAAACACTTTCATTTCTGGAGGGACGTTCTCCAGGCTGAGGGTGTTTGTTCATGAGAGCTGCAGGGCTGCTTGCAGGACACGTTGAGCCCTGATGTCCCCACTGATGTGAAAGCTGTGTTCATCGCCCCACAGCTTCATCCCACACAGTCCAGTGAGTGTGGCAGTGCCTCTGCCACGTCCTCTCTCTTTCTCTCCTTTTTGGGTCAGTTTCTGAAGACCCCGAGCCACAGGACCGATACCACGGGATCTACTTTGCCATGCTGCTGGCTGGTGTTGGATTTCTCCTTCCATACAACAGCTTCATCACTGATGTGGACTACCTGCACCATAAATACCCAGGTAGGGCTCTGTGTGGCTGCAGCCCTTCCTGCTCCCCAAACCTGGGCAGAGCCCCCACCGCCTTCCTCTCTGCAGGGACCTCCATAGTCTTTGACATGAGCCTCACCTACATCCTGGTGGCTTTGGTGGCCGTCATCCTTAACAATGCACTGGTGGAGCTGCTGAGCCTGCACACCCGCATCTCTGTGGGTGAGTTGGGATCTCCGTGTCCCTGGGCAGCGCTGCCTCCCCACTGCCCCCCACCCACCTCCATCTCCCCCACCTCCCCCTCCCCCCCTCCAGGCTACCTCTTTGCCCTGGGCCCCCTGCTCTTCGTCAGCATCTGTGACGTCTGGCTGGAGCTCTTCACCCGACGGCAAGCCTACGCCATCAACCTGGTGGCTGTTGGGGTGGTGGCCTTTGGCTGCACAGGTATGCTGTGGTCACCTGGGACAACCTACCAGGCAACCCTCGGGTCCCTTTCCCCCTCCCCAATCCTGGTGGTTCAGCTGCTGCCATAATCCTCCTCCTCCTCCCCTCTGCCCCTCTCTCCTGAAGTGCAGCAATCCAGCTTCTATGGCTACACGGGGCTGCTGCCCAAGCGCTACACGCAGGGGGTGATGACAGGAGAGAGTGAGTATTGCCATCCCCCGTGTGCGACAACACACTGCCCCCAGCACAGAACCACAGAGCCCCTGCGTGGCTGAGGTTGGATGGGACCTCTGTGTCCATCTGGTCCCGCCTACCTGCTCACCTACAGAAGGTTGCCCAGGTCCCTGTCCTGGTGGCTCTGGGGTTGCCAGCGACTTGGGGGACATCCGAGGCTAATCCTGAGCAAAGCAGGGTGGTCAGTGGTGTCTAATCATGTGCATGGAACTGTTAAGGCTGGAGGAGACCTCTAACACCATCTACCCCAACACATCCCGTGCCCACTAACCACGTCCCTCAGTGCCACATCTCCGTGGCTCTTGAACACCTCCAGCAATGCTCCTCTATGCATGGTGCACCCTACCCAATGCAGGGAGAGGCTGCTGGGAGGTTCCTAAGCTATAGGGCTCAATGGGACCTGGCTCCAACACACTCCTGTGCCTCCAGGCACCGCCGGGGTCATCATCTCACTGAGCCGCATCTTCACCAAGCTGCTGCTGTCGGATGAGAAGGAGAACACTGTCATCTTCTTCTTCATCTCCATCGGCATGGAGCTGACGTGCTTCATCCTTCACCTCCTGGTGAAGCGCACTCGCTTTGTCCGTTATTACACCTCCTGCCCCCGCAAGGGCAACCCCGAGCCCTGCAGGGCCAGCGACCACGGGCCGGGCTACCGCGTCCACCACGACGTCACGGCCGAGGACATCAGATTTGTAAGCCGGGGGGACGACGACACTTCCCACTGATCCCCAATATCCCTCCCTCCCTGGGACTCAGCGCTTGTGTCCCCTGTCCCCGTGCAGGAGGACCGGCTGCAGGGACAGCTGGCATCTCCCCGTGGCAGCCCGGGCCCTGAAGCTGAGCTGGCCGGCAGCGGTACCTACATGCGCTTCGATGTGCCCACACCCAAAATCAAGAGGAGCTGGCCCAGCTTCAGAGGTGGGTGGTGGGCTTGGGGGTGGAGCAGGCTGGCTGGCTATTATGGGGTGTTCCAGCAGCGTTTTGTGGGGCAGGAGGAGCAAGCTATGGGCTTTGTGCTTAAAAACATGGGGAGAAAATACATGTTGAAAAATATGGTGATGCTGCTTTGGTAGTCCTTCCTGCTTACAGCATCGTTCAGCCGCAGCTGAGAGCTGTGGGCTGTGCAGGGGGGGGTTTGAGCCTCACTGCCCATCTCCACCAGCCATGCTGCTCCACCGCTACATCGTGTCGCGGCTCATCTGGGCCTACATGCTGTCCATCGCCATGACCTACTTCATCACGCTGTGCCTCTTCCCCGGGCTGGAGTCGGAGATCCACAACTGCACGCTGGGGGAATGGCTGCCCATCCTCATCATGGCCATCTTCAACCTCTCCGACTTCGTTGGCAAGGTAGGAGGCATCGCTGCCACCGGGCACGGCTCACCCCCTCCATCTCTTTGCATGTCCTTAGGAGGAGGAGGGGATGAGTGAACTGTGGGCCATCCACACCCTGTGGGTGTCCAACCAGCACCGACATGGCCAATGTTGTGTTCCCACATGCGGGCCTTCCCCCATCCTGTCTTCTCCCCGCCGCCCCTTTCTGGGTGTTGCATTGCCCTCCTCCCCTCAGCACGGTCTCTGTCCCTCACACAGATCCTGGCTGCCCTGCCTTACGACTGGAGAGGAACACACCTCCTTGTCTACTCCTGTCTCCGTGTGGTCTTCATCCCCCTCTTCATCATGTGCGTCTACCCCAATGGTCAGCCCACCTTCGGCCACCCCGCCTGGCCCTGCGTCTTCTCCCTCCTCATGGGCATCACCAACGGCTACTTTGGCAGCGTCCCCATGATCCTGGCTGCTGGCAAAGTGAGCCCCGAGCAGCGGGAGCTGGCAGGTAGGGCTGCACCATCCATGGGCTGCCGTGTGGGGTAGCCGTGTAGGGTGACACCCTCTGTCCCTCTCTGCAGGGAACACCATGACCGTGTCCTACATGACGGGCTTGACGCTGGGCTCAGCCGTGGCTTATTTTGCCTACAGCCTCACCAGTACGTCCCACAGTAGCTGTTTCTACACTGAAACCTCCAACGGCTCCTTCCTGGGGGGGTACTGAGCCCCAGGGCCGAGCAATGGGGCCAGGATGGGACCAGGCCCTGCTGCTGTCCCCAGCAGCCCTCACTGCCCACCCCCGTGGTCTCTGGGCACTGTGCAGATCCAATTCCTGGGCTGATGCCCCCCAGTGTTGTTGGTCCCAAAGTTCCTGGGGTCTCCCCCTGGGCAGTGGTTGGGAGGGGTCTTCTGTTTGAGCCCTGGCCGAGGAGGGAAATACGGCAGAATCGCAAAGGGAGGGGGGATGGCACTGGGGAAGAGAGCAATAGGGGGCTGTTGAGGAAGAGGAGCAGGGAGGAAGATGGCTCTGATTGATGGTGCTGCAGCTTTCCCCTGAGGACAGCTTGAAATCATGACCCCAACCCTTCCCTGTACTTCAATCGTTGTGTAAGAGCCCCCACCCACTACTGCTGCCTGGAAAGGGGGGGGGGGAGAAAAAAAAAAGGTTTTTTTGCCCTCTACTCCTGTCCTCAGCTCTTTGGTCGGCCTCCAGGCTCCAGTGGGCTGGGGGGGAATGCGATGCCCTGGGTGCTGCCCAAGGCCACTGCTGAGCTTTGACTTCTATCATGTAAAACAAACTGAAAACAGATTGTATGTCTTACTTGGCAATGATCCCTTCTGCAAGCCACACTGCTGGGCTGGGAACCCCGGCAGATCCTTGGGAGAAAGGCTTTAGGCTACAGGAACACCAGTCCTCCCCCCTGCCAAAAATGAGAGCCATGGGCTGCAGGGCACCTACAGCCCCACTGCCAGCCAGGCACTGCTGAAAGGTTCCCATTCCCCTCCTTGCCAGCACACCGGGTTTAGCGTTTCCTAATCAATAAAAGCTTTTTGGTTTTGCCTTTATATACTTCTGTTTTCTCCAAGGCAGCATTTCGCCCCTTCTGGGCTGGTTCTGCTGCTAGCAGGACGAACAGCTGAGGGCCAGCACTGGCTGCTTGGGGCCAGCTGTAGGAGGGAGGGAGGACAGGTCCTTAGCAGCTGGTGAGGGGCTGGAGCACAGCCCAAGGGAGCTCCGGGCAACCTGCAGGGCCTGCCTGAGGGCAGCAAGCAGGAGGAGCGTGGCTCTCTGGAGCAGGAATCGCCCTGGGGGTGATTTTGGGGGGCTGTCTGCACCCATTGTGGGTGCATCTCCCAAGGGCTGGAGGCCGTGAACCTCAAAATGCCCCCCAACACCATGCTGAGCCCCCAGCAAGGCACTGGGCAAGACAGGCAAGAAAAGCCAGCAGTTCATCAATGCACCATCCATCCTTCAGGGCTCGGGAGGAGTGCAGGGATGGGCTCCCCTCCTTCTGCTCCCTCTGCTCCATGCAGCCACATTATCCGCCCTGAGATTCCATCCCACGTCTCAGGGCCACCCATTGGGACCCCATCCATATGGGGGTGGGCACACAGGGACCCCCCCACAGTGCCACGTGGTGCCCAGGTTGGGCCATGCCCATCACCAGGCATGGGCTGTGCTGGGACAGGAAGGAACCCTCAGTCAGGAAAGGCGAGACAAAGAACGATGCTTCGGTGGGTTGCTTTTGTTGTTTTTTTTTTTGTTGTTGTTTTTTTTTCCTCAATTAATTTTTTTTTTTTTTATGAAAAAAGATCACACGGAGTTCTCCAACAAACAGAATGCCAAAAAGAAACTGTTTTAAACAAAACATAAACAAAACAAAACGAAAAAAAAAAAAAAAGACAAAAAAACCTGGCTCTCCTTTCCTCTCGATTGTCTGAAATATCCTTGTGTTCCATAGAAGGCAGTGGGTTTTAAGTGCTTTCTATTTAACATTAGCATAAAATCTCTCTCGCGCGCTCTCTCTCGCTCTTTTAAAATATGCTCACACCATTTGCTTCTACAAGTACAGTACACTTTGAGCGTGGGGGGTGGGGGTGCCTGTTCCCAGATCATTTACAATCACAATCCAACAGGAAATAAAAAATAATATTCTGAACGTCAGACTGTGTTCGTTTTCTGCCGTTGTTGGTTGGTGGGTTTGGGGTTTGTTGGTGGTTGGTTGGTGTTGGTTTGTTTTTGTGGGTTTTTTTTTCCTTTTTTTTTTCCTTTTCTTTTCTTTTTTTTTTTTTTTTTTTTAGAATTTCATAACTTTTTTTTCTTTTTTCCTCACAGTTTTAAAAAGTTTATATTTATATATATATATTTATATTTATATTTATAATTAAAAAGTTGAATCCATTTAAAGATTTATAATACAGGAGGGCTAAAGAGTCTTTTGGTACATTAAAACTGTACAGGTTAGAACCGTCACTATCCGCGGCGCCCGGGGCAGAGGTGGGACAGCGCAGCACCATTGTGGTTCTTGCTGAAGTCGAGGGGTGACTGTGCAGAGACACCCAGGCCCCCCCGGGTCCGGTCCGGAGCAGCAGAGGGGTGGATAGTTTGCAATCTGTCCAAGCTCTCCCCACCAGAGCCTGGGCTGCTGCTCCCGGCCGAGCTGAGCCACGCTCCACGTCGCAGCGATGCAGTGCGAGTCGACAGTTGCAAAGATCAGTGCGTCTCTTGGGAGTTTTTGTTTAAGTGCAAGGATGTTGCGTGGTTCTGTTCTCCTCCAACATCCCCCCCCCTTGCTGGGTTGGCCAGTTGAGCGCTCCCCTGGCCCAGCCCAAGGTGACTGCTGGGCTTTGGCTGCGGAAATGCAGCAGCAGGGCACGGCTGGGCTTCGCATTCTGTCCCTGTTCCTTCAAATGAGAGGTGGAGGGCTTCCAGGCAGCTGACTGCTCCACACAGGCGTGAGAGGTAAAGCTGAGTGAGCTGTGCTAAAATCCATTCCATCGCGGGAGGCACCCCCTGACCTGCAGCCTCCTCTGCTCCAAGCACCCAAGCAGTGTCTCCCAGTCATCTCCTTCCCTGCACACTCACAGGGAGTTGTTTGGCAAGCCTCACTCTCTTCTCACCTGCACTTCCTTCTCTCTCTCCTTTGTGAGACAGGAGGGAGTGGGAAGGTGGGCTCAGCCCATCTGGGGCAATGAGAAAGCAGCATCCCAGGTGTGACAGGGGCTCACCTGGCACCTCCAGCCTGGAGGACCTCTCCTGCCATCTCCACACTAGGGCCAGCACTGCTCTTTGTGCTCCACTGCCAGGCAGGGGAAGGGGAACCGCCAAAAGGCGCCGGGAGGATTGAGACGAGGCGCTGAGAGAGACTCATCTCCTTTCTCTTTCACCCTGTCCTTCCTAAAGGGTCATGCGAAACAAGCAGGAAAGGGGATATAAGGACGGAGAGGAGCGTATGCAGAAGGTCAGCAGGTGTCCTTCCACATACGGGCGGCTTCTGAGTGACTGATGGGGGCAAATGACACAAAAGGGATCCCTCCTGCTGGGGGGTTCCCCGCTGGTGAAATGATCATGAGACCCATGTGCTTTCCAGGACCAAAAGGAGGAAGGGAGAAGTTGGTCAAGTGTCACCTTAATTAAAGCCACTTCCCAAAGATTCTTGAGGCTCATACACCACCGCTACCACCCTTGGCATCTTCCGTGATTGCTGTAACCGCTTTCTCAGCCCCTTTCTTCAGCCCTCTCCTTCCTCCCCATGTCTCTCGCACTCTCCTGTCTGTAGTGTGACACCGAAGTCATGAGCTTTGAAAGAAACAATCATGTCGTCTGAACAGGCACGTCCTCAAGTTTGTCCTGTCCCTTCCCAGGGCTGGCACGTGCTCCCTGGGCGGTCAGCAGATGACAGGGACCCCGTCGGTGTTGAAGATCATGCCCGTGGTGGGCTCGTAGGTCCCTGCAAGGTAGTAGAGGTCCTCACTGTCTTGATATTTCTTAGTCTTTAGCATCTGCTCATACTGATCCAGACCAACAACGAGACACTTGTGTGAGATGGTCTGGACATCGTTTTCATCCACGTGAGAGGACTGATAGAGAGCTCGCTGCATTACAGGAAGGGAAGAATGCAGACAGAAAGGAGTAATTAGAACTCTCAGCAATTAAAGCATCATCTGCAATAGCAAGAAAAACACCCACCAGCCTACCCAGGGCTTGTGCTCATACAGAACTCCCCAACCATCCCCACTGCAAGCGCAGACAGAGACACTGGGAACACCAGGGGGCTGATCCCATGGGCAGTGTGGACGTAATCAGTCCTTTACACCAAACCTGAGCCCTTGCACACAGCCAGCTCCCACAGAAGGGAACCACAGCTGCACAGTGTGCTGACGGGGGAATACAGAGGCCTGGAGTTTGTCACCTCCATTTCAAGGATGCAAATGCAAAGACAGGTGCTGGCTGGGGGCCCACTGCTCTTCCCAACACCCAGCACCAGCAGCTATTCCCATCCTCCCAAATACACCCGTCCAAAGTCCTGGAAACTATAGTCTCAACAACTAAGGCAAAAAGTAAAAGCCAGAGAAGGTCAGAGGCTTTTTTTTCCCCAGCAGCATCAGTTATGCAGTTGCAGCACCAACCTCCATGAAGTCCTTCCTCTGGTTGGATGCCTGCAGAGCTGTGGACAGACTCCTGCCTGATTTCTGATCCCAGCGCTGTGCCCAGGAGAAAAAGAGAAAACAGAAATAAAAAGAAAACAAATTAACTGGATTTTCCTTGTTATCATCTTCTGCCCACCACATGTGCCTTTATAACCTCAGCCCCACCCAAAGGCAATACAAACTCATAGCCTACTGTAAAACACACTGTGCAAAGATGCAAAACTCAGCATTCCTGTGCACCAGGCTAGCAGATTTACACTGCACAAAGTCTTGGTCTGACTCTTAATAAACTCTTTTTGGATTGACATACACAACTATTTCCTAGTAGACACCTTTCCCTGGATCAAGGGGTATCAGGCTTGTCCACAGCCACAGCATGAAATGATGGTTTTACCCAATTAAGGTACCAGCAATGACCTGGGCCATAATTCTCCCTGTCTTCAGGAGAGGAACACAGACATGCAGCTTTGCAGCCCTCTCAGCAATGGCGAGCAGCCTACCTTGCCTTCGTTGAGTTTCTTCCCAGGGTTGGTTTCCTCTGGGTGATAAAACCACTTGACTCGGACCACCATGTTGTTCCCCCAGGACTCCCACATGCTCTGGATCCGGCCAATGTAGGGCAGGTTGGGGCGGCCAGCTGAGAGGAAGACCGCACAGTCTCCAATGCGAATGATCTCCTTGCCTCGGACAATGGCCTTGTAGAAGAGCTTCCTGGCCTTCCCTTTCATTCCTCGTCTCTGCCAAGAGAGAATCGCACAGGTGAGCAGCTCAGGTTTCCCTCATCCTACATTCTGACCTTTTCTGTTGGCAGAGCCAGACCCAGCCTCGTATAATGTCACAGCCACCACCTCGCCAGACACTCCACGGCCTGAGCACTACACACTAATGGAGAATCAAAGATGTGGCTGGTGTTGGTCCTCAACCATCAGGTAAACAGGCATTCCCACAAGAAACAGGACAGAGAGACAGGCCATGTGCGACAGCTCCCCACAACACAGTGAAGGCCAACCCCAACCTCCTTACAACCTGAGCAGAGGACACACATTACGCCAGCAGAGCATCGCCAACCCCGAACGGAAAGGCTCCCTTTCCCAGGCAAATGGGAAAGATTTCACTTACCTGCGTGGGCTTCCCAAACCACTTCCACAGCTGCCGTGCGGGGAGGAAGGCGGCGATCTTGGGCCTGTTTTCCACCGATGGCAGCCGCTGGCGCTTGGCCAGCTCCTTGGTGGTGGGCAGGTGGATGCCCTCACGCTTTTTGGGCCTGCTCTTGTTGCCGCTCTGCTGCGGTGCCGGCTGCTGCGCCGGCTGCTGTGCTGGCTGCTTCTGGCTCTGGGGGTGGGAGGATGCCCGGGATTTCCCTGTCTGTTTGGTTTGCTTGGGAGGGATGGTTTGCTGCACTGAGGAACTTGGCTGGGCCTCAGCTACTTCGTCATCAGAGCTACAGGAGGAGTCTTCATCTGTAGTGGAGGAGGAAGAGGAGCTGGAACTTGATGATGAGGAGGTCGATGAGGCAGAGGAAGAGGAGGAAGAGGAGGAGGAAGAGGAGCTGCTGCTAGAAGAGGAAGAGGAGGAGGAGTTGGAGGAAGAGAGAGGAGTCGATGCTCTTGAGCTGGTTGAGCTGCTGTCCTGAGCCTCCCCTCGGTTCTTCTCGGTCTCCTCTTCTCCCTCTGATTCTGAGCTGCTGTCACTGCTGTTGCTCTCAGACTCCTCTACAGCTGCTGGCACTGCTGCCTTGTCTTCCTGGTCCTTTGAGGCATTGAGGCTTTCTGCCGAGCCATCAAACTTTCCCCCAAAGCTGGCAGGGTCTCCCTCAGCTGCCTTGGCTCGGGAGGATTTCTGCTTGCCCTCTGCACCCACTGCAGGTGAATAGCCCAGCCCCAAGAGACTTTTGCCATCTCTGCGACCAGCCAGACTCGAGTCCTCCAGCATCCTCATCGCCTCCTTCATTTTCTTCGTCTTTGGAGACATCACACCCTCATGGTCCAGCTTGATCAGGATTTCACTGTCATGCTTCCTCTGAGCCTTAACCATGGTACCAAATTCCTGTGCCTCTTCTGTGGGCCTGCCTTTCTTGGCCTTGGCTTTCGACGCTGAAGCATCACTGGAGCCAAAGGCTGTCAGTGTCCCTGGCAGGTCACTGTAGGGCTCTGTGGTGAGGATGCTGCCAAACACAGCAGGCTGGTAAGTGGGTTGTGGGGGGCTATGCAGCTTAGTGGAGATCTTCATTTTACTGGCTTTTGACCGTTTTTCCTCTGTGGGGGCAGGAGACCCTCCAGTAGGCAGCGGCTGGGATTTTCGTGACCCCTTCACACTTGATTTGCCCAGGCAGGCTGGTTTCTCAGGGACTGAAGAAGCACCAGGTGAAGGCTCCACCTGATCCTTCTCTTCAGGCAGGGAAGCCTCTTCTACAAAGGGGAAGAAAAACACAGGCATGGTATTATCCACAGAGACCAGCACTATTAGCTCAGACACAGACAGACAACAATCCCAATTAGTCTCTGGATTGTTCCTGACTGCTTCAGGCTCCCTGCAGAGGCACAGAAGTCCTCACTGTGCAAGGACTCTCTCAACTCCAGGCACAGCGGTGGTGACAACTTACCAGCTTTTGCCTTGATGCTTGGCTTTCTCCCTCGCCCTTTGCCCTTTGATGCAGGCTCCTCTGACCCCAGTGCAGCCCCTTCTTTTCCTTCTCCGGCATCTTTGCTGGATTTACGGCTGCGGCGCTTGGTGCTGGGTACCAAAAGGGCTGGGGAAGGCTCAGCACCTGGAACAGATCAAAGAGATGTTGAAAAGCAGTGAAAAATCATACACAATTGAGACAAGACATGGGAAACCTGTCCCTCCCAAATCTGCAATAGAGACTGGGCCTTTTTACCCAGTGGATCATGTCCCACGCCCAGTATGCACATCCATAATTGATGGTGCAACCTCTGTGATTGAAAGTCTGTGAATTAGCCCTAAAATCTGAGGAAGGTGGCTCTGAACTGTCTAACATTTCATAGTGGGAAGCGTGAAGAAAGAAATGGAGAAAGAAGACTCACACTGGATCTTGTAGTCAGGTGGGAGAAGCCGGATGTGAGACAGTGGGATACGTCCTGTGTCCCCATCATCAAACTCTACTGTGATAAGATCACCATCTTCCTCCAGATCCAGGGTTCCTGTGAGTTGGGGGAGTAGAAGAAGGTATCACAGAAAACTTAAAAGCACAAAACACTTGCTAGAAAAGCAGGGACTGCCTTCCTCTACCTCCAAAACTCCATTTCCCACCTTTCCTATATGGTTGTCCAGGGAGAGCACAGAAGATTTAGACCACAATAAAAAATCCCTCATAATACTAAACCAGCCCACCTAGTGCAGAATCTCTCTGTCAAAAGCACAGGAAAAAAAACTACTCCCGTGTGACATCCCGCATCGCCTCCCTGTTTCCTTCTCTTCCTGAAATATCTTTTATTTTCTCTGCAGTACCTTTAATGACCTGCATTTTGCAACTACTCTCAGCAAACTGCAGAGTTCCTGTAACAACACCAACATTCTATATATCTGATAAGTAATCCTTTAAACATACAAAGCATGACTAAGAGCCTAAAAGCAAGACCAGTCATGGCAAAATTGTCCAGGCTTCTTCACTGGCCTTTCTATCAGGCCAGATGGGGGAGACATCAGGAAGGAATGTGTCAGAGGCAGAGTTGTGAGTGGCAAGGTGATGGGAAACCTCCACAACCTCAGCAATAACTGGTGCCTGGGCTGGAAATAATTCTGACTTTTTGAAATGTGGTAAGTTTCCCCAGTGTTTTAAGCTCCTAAATCACTCAGACCCCTTCCCACCAAAGCATGGCTCCTGGATCATAAGATGGTACTAAATCAGCATCTCAATCAAGTTGGGCATAACCTGGAAGAATGAGCTAACCACTGACACTCATAGCAGACCTCAGGACTATCCCAGACAAGCCTGACATCCCTCAGGACACGCAGGACAGAGACATCCCTGGCTCACAGCACCTGGGGAGCCTTACCTCGGACAACTGTCCCTGGGTAGAGGCAGCGGTACTGCTGGCTCCAGTAGGCAGCAATCCTTGTGCCCTCGGGCAGGAATCGCACTGAAGGTGGCTTCACATCAATGATCTGCTCAGAGCAAAAGGCAAACCATTACTGATACTCTTGGCACCAGCACAGATCATCCCATCACATTCAGCACGTAGCAAACCAGATCTGAAGAAGACGAGAGACAGTTCCCCTGCTGGGAGATGGCCTCCTGCCTGCACACATGACAGCACGAAGGACTATTTCTGTTAGTGGGGACCTCCACACCAGTGGGAGCTCTACCCAGACTGTCTATGTAGACAGAAACAGGGCAGCCCTGCAGCCCAAGACAGTTAGCCACTCCCACCCCAGAACAGGCCCAGGCACCAAAAAAAGGCATCCAATGGCCTCACATACCGCTTCCTGCAAGAGCTGCTCCAGGCAGTAGATATGGGGTCTGTTTCCCCTCTCACCTTCTACCACCACGCGGTATCTGGAACATAAAGACCTGATCAGACACAGCACATGGAAGAGATCACTTGGATAAGAAAACACCTCCCTCCGAGCCCTGCCACCAGTCAGTTGAGCAGATTTAATGAAAAGTAATTAGATTTTCCTGAGCACTGATAAAACAGAGTGAACTCTCCATCCCTCCCAACCAGACTCTCTCAGTTGCTCTCCAGACATCCCTGCAAAGCACCAAAATCCATCCCCGCATCAGTTACCCCTCATTTCATCAGCAGAGACTGGGCAGATACAGCAGCCCCACAACTCACATGTCAGGTGAATGCACCGTCTTGACATGTCCAGCATAGAGCAGCTTGTCATCCATGGGGATGAGGACACGCAGGCCATCCTTCAGCTCATCCTTGTCAATTATGCAGGAGCGGGGAGCTGTGAGGTGTTGAAGCAAGGCAGGGATTAGAGAACACCACAGAGGAAAAAGCAACTGCAAAGGGAGAGGGAAATCTCATTCCACCAGCATGATCCTCCCCTAAGAAAGGACCAGCAAGCCCTTTGCAGAAAGGAACCCTTCTTGGTAATAACAATATGTCAGCAAATGAAAATAGGGCAGCTCAGAACTGGGCTTCATCTAGATGTCAAACAGAGTTGGCAGCTCTGAAGAGGCTTGTATCTGACAAGCCAAATTGACTGTAAATGTGTTCCTCCACCCCAAGGAAGGATTCATGGCTTTGGAAAAGGAATGTGTGAAAGCAACACAGCCCTCCCCCAAGCAGCTCTTGGAAATTCATCCAGCTCTGCTACTTGCACAATTAGCCCTTCCAGCCCTCCCTGCTCTCACCTGGTGTGGGTGGCCGCTCGACAAGCATGCTCAGTGGGATGTTCTCATCCTCCGAGAAGCTGCTATCTTGGTTGGGTTCAAAATCCTCCTCCGCTGCCATGCTCTCCATGAGCTTGCTGACAGCTCCTCCTTTCCCTCGGTTCTGCAGGAGAGCAAGCAGCACGTCAGCTGGATGCCAACAGGCAACAGCCTGATCCCATCTCACCTTCCTCCAGCAACAAACAACCTGAGGATATTGGGACAAACTCGTCTCCATCCTCAATAATGTTAAAACACACAGAGAGCCCAGTAGGTATACCCAAAATTGTTTTCTGACTAAAAAAAAAATATCTTTGCTTTACTGGGTTTCCTGCCAAGCATCACTGACAGCTGAGCAAAAGCCATTTCACATCTCCTAGCCACATCTCACTCCTGCAGGCTGGGAGAGGTGCCAAAGAGCAGACAGCTGTAGCACTGCTCTGTGCTCACCACCCCTCTGCAAACAGCCTGTTTTCACTAAACACGCAGCAGACGCCATTCCTATTTCTTCTCAAAGCCTCACGATTCATTTCTCAGTGTTGCACAGAGACCAGAAGCATTAAACTCAGAAATCATGTGAGAAAATGCAGTACTGTGTGTTATGATAGCCTGCAGTGAGCAGAAACCAATGGTGGCCTGGCTCACCCAGTGCTGAGCACAACTCCATCACCATCTCTCTGGTCTTTGCTTTTTCCCAAAGCTCTCCATCCACCCCCATCTCTATGCCTTAGAGAGAAATTCTGCCTGCTCATTAATTTGGGGTACGAATTCAACTGAACACTAGATGGTAGCAGCAGGCACTGTTCTACCTGCTAGCCTTCCTGGGAATTTAGGCTTCTCAAATTTTGCCTGTAATGCATCAACAGAGGTTGCATTCAGTGTTTTCCCTCCCTCTTACTGCAGCAGTCCAAGGAAAGAGCACGGCTCTGCCAACCATCTTCCAGCTCGTGCAGTCTAGAACCAGTCACTCACCTCTTTTTTAACTTCCTTGGCTTTCACCTTGGCTTTGCTCTTCTTGGTGGAGCCCAGGGCACTGGCCAGGCTGACCCGAACGTCAGATGGGGAGCTAGGGATGCCAGGAGGAGACATGGACGAGGAAGAGGAGCAGCAGGGTGCTTCTTTACCCTTTTTCCGCTGCCAAAAATAAAAGTAAACACCACCATCATTGAAGATCCAGGCCTACATAGAGGAAGGGTGGAGCAAAGCAGGCCATGCACAGTCAGCCAGCAATTCACTGACATCCTCTGTCTCCCAGCTCTGCATTCAAGCCTCACAAATTTCAGTGAGAGTTTCTCATTACCCCAGAGAGCAATTCCTGTCCATCAGTCCTTCCCTCAAAGAGCTCAGAGAAGATCCCAGCTGGCTTCATGCCACAACTAACTTGTCTAACTCTTCCCACTATCACTGAACCATCATTAAATGAACTGGAGCCAAAAGCAGTTGAGCTTTCAGCCAAAAGGAAGAATCAGAAGACCACTGCCACTACCAGCCAAGGCTGGTCCTTCAAAGGCACCGTGAAGATGTCAAAGGAAACACGGGCAGCCAAACAGAATGTGGACTTAACCCTTCACTTGTCTAGTGGAGCTCATCACCTTCCCTTCATCCTGAGCTCCCAAGCATCCCACATGCTGCCAACACGTTCCTCACCTTGCTTAGCTCCTTCCTGTCCTTCCCTTTGCTGCCCTCCTTCTTGGGACTCATGGGGGCCCCCTTTCCACAGCGCCCAGACTTGGAGACAGGAGTGGAGCTGGCAGGTGCCGTGGGGGTCAGCATGGCTGATGATGTGGTGGCATCGTGGAGGAAGATCCGTTCGCTCCGGCGCCGGTTCCACAGGTCATCATCGCTGGCCTCCAGCCCAAACTCAAAGCTCAAGTCCTTGGGGGACTTGAACTTCTTTAGCTTGCGGCCTTTCTCAGACCCAAGCTTGGCTTTGTCAGCACTTCCAGATCCGGGCTCAAGGCTGCTTGGGGTCTGGCTTGATGGGATGCTGCTTGTTTCCAGAGAACCCTTCTTCCCCCGCAGCAATTCCGAGGGTGACTTCTTCCTGATCTTGATCTCACTCTCTGAGTCGGTGTATTCAAACTCCGTCCCTAGATGCAAAAGATTCAATCATCAAGTCAGTGCTATGGCTGAGCACATGAGGAGCCAAGCACGGCTAGAAGCTTTTGGACTCCATGGGAGATGTCAAGACTGTTCAACAGAGCCCTGGTGTCCCACTTTGAAACCCTAACACCCTTACAACATTCTCTAGCCCTCCACAAAAAGGAGTTTCTTGCTTGAAGGAAAGTACAAACCTCACACACTGAACTTTCCTACCTTCCCGGGATGGGGTCCCTCCAGTCTCACCTTCGTTTCTGAAGAAGGATCTCTTTAATGAATTAAATCAACCCAGATTTCAAGCTTATTTTTCTCCTACTGGCCAACGGACACCACAGAGCTATTTATTGGCTCAAACAACTGCCTTGAAGTCAAAATAGGTAAATGATCCTTTGTCTGTGGAAGATGGAAATCCCCTCATACTGGCCACTGCTCAGCACAGCAGTATCCAGCATCCTGAAATACTGCAGTAACACCAAGATGTTCACCACCTACAGTGCGTTTCCCCTCTTCAAAACCTGATAAAGGAGTGTAATATCATACCCTACAGGGTCAGGAGAGAAACTGAGGCAGCACCCAACTGTTGGTGTGACTTTGTCTGAGGTTGACAGAAATTATTCTAAAGCCCAACAGTGAACAGCTCCTGTAAGATAACTAGCATGTGCAGGAGATCCTTTAAGGAAGGGCGTACACAACTAAACAATATTCACATGGGTAGAAGAAAATGTGCAAGGCATAAGCATAGAGAGACAACACCTTATTTCAGTCCTTCTCTTTTAAATATGCTCACTTTCCTGGGTTAAATGTGGCCTGCAGGAACCTGCTCACCTCTTCTACCTAAACAGTCTCCCCTGAGACAGCCCCAGCACAAAAAGAGCCAGTCTGTTGAAATCAAAGCTGGCAATGCTCAAGATGAAAAGCCCTTTGGAAATTACAGCACCCGTTCTCCTCTGTCACTGCTGCCTGAGACAATTTCTAGATGTTTCCAGTTTCAAGGAGGGCAGGTTACAAGGCGATAAATTCTTAAGAGAGGCTGTTGGAACAAGTTGGCAAAAGCCTAATATAGCATGGAAATGGTGCTAAAACAAGCTGGGCTCCCAAAGAAGACATCATTTTCCATTCTGAGGCATGCTATAAATTCCATTATCACTTAATAAATATTAATAGAGAATTTATAAATGGAGCCCATATAGATCTGTCTGACTGGGAACGATGTCACCCAGGGGCATTTGTGCAGCAGGGCATGGGAAGGAGAAGAAATAAAACTCCAATTACTTCCAACAGTGAAACTGAGGGACAGGGACAGAGGCACAGGGCCTAGCACGGCAAACAGATGAGCAAATGAACTCTTGCTTTGAGTCCCTCTGCCCAGTTTCTATGGGGACACAGCTGGGATGAGTGAATTTAAGAGGTTTTCTTCTGTTTTGATGTCTCTGCTTTTCTTGGGTGCTGAAAATCAGCTGCATTTAGCACGTGCTTCCTTCCTCAAAATGCAACAGCACTGTGTCCATGGGGGCACTGCATCCCACTGTCAGCATGACTGTTAAGGGTTTGCCAGGCAGGAAAAGGGGAAACTTTGAGGAAGCCGCAGGCAACTGCCCCTAGGGAAGCCACAGCTGCAGCTGCTACAACTGCCATTCTCATGACTGTTTCTTCTTTTCTTGCCAGACACTGAACTTGCCTTCAGTATTAAGTAGCCAAAAGCAAGGACATGTCTGGATAAGAATCTGCTTTCCTGCAGCACAGCTGATCCTGAACCTTCCACCTTCTCCCCGGCACAAACCCTGAGCACACGACTCACCCATCAGGCTCTGTCTCTCCTCCTTCTTCTTTGCCTTCTGCTTGGCCTCCAGCTGGATGATGGAAAGTGGAGGGGGAACAATGGGGCTGGGCATCGCGCTGGCAGCAAACCTCGCTAGCAGGCCCAGGCCACTCTCATCAAGAGCAGGTGAGGAAAGCCTGTCGGTGCTGTCTGTCCCATAGTCCTCCACCTCTTCCTCCTCTTCTTCATCCTCTTCCTCATCTTCCTCTGAGCTGGAATCTAGCACGCAGAAAAGAAGAAGCCTGTTATAAGTCTTGCAGAGCTGCGCATCAGCCACATCTCCACCCCGAACCGACAGCTCTCCTCTGCTTTGTGCTCCCCTAAGCAGCACTGAGCCACCCCTGAGCTAAGCCAGAAGGTGTTAGCTGCAGACACACATCTTTGTGGTCATACAGCTGGTATCACCCTGCCTACTACCACCCATGGGGGACATGGCAACACAAGGTATAGCAGAGGACTCATCCTAAGCAGGAGAGGGAAAAGCAATGTGTTGAAAAGGAAGCCACGCACCCCTTCCCTGCAGCTTTCAAGGAGAAATTAAAAGCTTAACTCCTTTGAAAATCCCAACCCTGGAGCTGTGGGATTCCCCTCCCACCCACCACTTCTTCCTCCATAACAAAATCCATTAGTGTAATCAGAACCAGAGCTCAGGACAGAAGGGGAATACCAGAGATCAGCCTGCATTGCGGCAGGAGGCGAGGAGGACATGGAGAAGGGGCAGGAGGCAAAAATGCAAAGAGAGGAGGAAGGAGGGAAATAATAATTTGAAAGTGATGTGTTTGGAATGCAGAAGAAGGAAAATTGTATCTGCAGATGAAAGGACACAAAGGGAGAAAATGACATTTACAGGGAGCAAACTTCAAAAGTTAGTACTAGAGATGGCAACGAGAGTAGTGAAACACTCTGCCTCAAAACCCTCTGTGCCTTTTGCTTCCCTCTCTACAGTGCAGAAAAGGCAGAGTGAGCTGCCCACAGCCCCAGGTGGAGCTCTGGCCCAGAAATCAGCCTGGGCTGGCACACACAGAGCACTGGGCTGGGGTTTTCCTTACAGTGTGTGCACAGCAGGCACGTGGGGCAGATGCTCTGAGAGGGGTATCGCTCCCATCCCGACAGCACTTCCCAAGGGTCTGCCCATCAGCCCAAAGGCAATTAGTTTTAAATACATCTCATCCATAGTTAGTGCTGGTGAGAGTCACTGCACAAACACCACACATACACACACACACACACACACACACACACACACACACACGAGCACATATACATATATATACGTATGTTTGGGGTCTTTCTAACTGCAAAAACTAGGTCTGAAAAACATGAAGGCTTAAATAGCATCACCGAGGCTGCTGAAAGATTCCCACCACTAGCAGGAGCCCTGCTCTGCTCCCTGAGCCTCCACTGCCCACCAGCGCCTGCCAGCTGGCCAAATGGGAAACCAGATCCCTTCAGCATCAGCTGCAACAAACACGAAAATCCTTTTCTTTCCACTGCTGCCCTCGGGGATAGATAAAAATGTTCCTGACACTTGGTTGTTAAAAAAAAAAAATGCAATAACACAAGTGTTGTTTTTCCACTTTGGGTTGTTTTTTTCCGTGACTTCAGAAATCGCAGGGATATCAGAAAGCAGAGCTCTCATCCTTGCATTTCATCCAATGAGTGACACTTTTGTTTTTTTCCAACAGCATACATCAGATGGCCACGGAATACTAATTGTTGACTGCACAGAAAGCCCTTCCACACCTCAGTGGCTCACACGATGCTTTTGATAGAGAATTGCTGCTAACCCAACAGTCTTGCAGTGAATACCAAGACATTAACAGCCCTGTTCACTCCTTGCACAAAAACCACATGCAAAAAAACCAATCCACACCAAATTAGGATCAGATTCCTTTCCCTAACACAAGAAGGGGCACAACGGCTGTTTTTCTACCATGTTTTGCCAAGAAGAAAACACATCCAGATGACCTCAGCTATTCTGAGCTGCAGAAGCCACCTGCCTGCAAGCAGCAAAACAGTGCCTGAGTTCCTACACCAGCTCTGTTCTACTCCAAAGTGGGACGCCCTACTCCAACAAGTGCCCCTTATTTGAGACTCCAACCATGCATCCAACTGGGCTCTGAATTCAGTACTGCTCCACAAAATCAGAAAGATCAGCCCATGCAGCCCTTCCTGCTAGACCCAGAGAGCCAGGTGAGGTGAGAACAGAAAGCAGGCAAAAAAAAGGGGATGTTTTGCAGGAAAACCCCTTCACAACCTGTCCCATATGCATACCATGCAGCACGAGCACACTTCTCGCTCAGTGCTTGAAGACTCCTCTTCCACCCCAGCCAACATGGGCTCTGCAGCCACAAGGGCACGAGGGCACCGAGCAGCTCCCGTATTTCAAAGGCACCGAGGTGAAGCAGATTTAAAAGGCACGCTGAAAGCAGCCATTACTCACGCCACGGAAAACGTACGATGCAATAATGCACCCAGCAGTTATTCTAACCTCCTTCAAATATACGGTGTCACGCTACGGAGAGACAACCAGACACAGTCTCTTGTCAGCATTATTACCAAAACACTTATATTTCTAACTGCAGGAGATTCAACCTGCAGCCTGAAAAAGAACAACACGTTAGAGCACGTTTGCAGCCTTCACTCACAGCTCTATCCTTCCCCACCACAAGTGCAGCTCTTGCTCACTCTGCTCCTCTTCCTCCTGATGTGCCAAGAGACAAAAACGACCGAACGAAACCAAGACAGCACATCTGGGGCTTCCCTCCAAACCCACTTCTAAACCGAGTCCCCACCTTCACAGCCCTGGTGGCAAAGATATTCCTGCTGGTTCTCCGCAGCTCAGTGCAATGGCTGTACAGAATCTGAAGCTTGAGTCTGACTCCTGCTATCCTATAGGATACAGATAGGTACCCAACCTATCTGTGGGCTTAAAACGAAGCACGCACAGATGCTTTTGCACAACCAAAGCCTCCATCTTTTCAGCTGCCAATAATTAACGGTGGGACAAAAAACATTCTGAAATATCTTTTTCTTTCTCTCTTCTGGTTGTAATTCTGTAAACACTGAGCAAGGCTGAGGAGAAAACATATCAAGTGAAACATTGCTGCCATCATTAAGAGCATGTATATGTGTGTACACACCCACACACACAGTCACACCGTATGCATACAATCCTGCAGCCAAAACAAACAAGAAGTCATACTGAAATGCTGGTGAAGCCAGATAAGCTCAAGTCAAAGGTTTTCTTTTTTTCCCAAAATGTTTACCTGCATTAAATTCAGAAGCAACACCAATTGAAAATACTGAACTTTCTCACTGTTTGTTTTTTTTTTTTTTATGGCATTTTACTGTAGGAGAGGAATAAATGAAGATGAGTGGAGATCGGTTAAGCAGTTTGGTTTTTACAGACTGATGTAACAGGATGGACTGAGTAGGGCATGGGGAGGAGAGGTTTGGGAAGGGGGGGGTAAAAACACACACTTAGAAGAGTCATTTCACACTGTAAAAAAAAAATAGCATGATTTTTTTCATAACACCAAGCAGGCCTACAGCATACAAAGCAGGCTAAGTACAGGCAGACTTTAGACAGCTCCTGGGTCATTGACATCTGATTTGTGTGATCGGTCCAAACTCTGGAGGTTACCTATTTTCAAATCTCCAATTTAAGATTGTCTTTCTTTTTTTTTTTTTAATGCCAAACAAACCAATTCTCATCAGTCGTAGATTTTTCCTCCATGTGTGCGGCGCTGCTGACTCCAGAAGTGCTTATTAAAAACTATTAAAATATTACAATGATTGCACAGGATTGGTTGCACGGGGAAACAGTTATCCACACTGCTTGGAAAAAAACAGCAGAAAAACATTCCATCATTTCTTTCAAGGGGGGAAAATCACCCTCCAAGTTAAGGAGAGCAAGGAAGAAGGCATTCATCTCTCCAGGGATACAGTCTATTGAGAAGAAAAAATGTGGGTCTTTGGTCATGGAAACTTCATGGCATTCCCTATCCTGATAGCCTCTGAAGACCCTATGTAGCTTCAGCCTCTACTGGCAGTTTCCTCTGCAAGGTCACTGGATGAAACACCATAGGCTTCGCTCACTGTCGTTAACAGCAGTGCTATGTTTGGTCGACAAGGAATCTGTGTGTCCCTGCAACTATCTCAAGGCAGACAAAAACAAGTTCTCCTGCAGCTAGTCCTACATCTGACGCACACAGTGGTAGGGTCATGATACCCACTGCCCCAGCAGCAAGCAGTCTGCATCGTGGCCCAGGAAATCTTTCAGCTGCAGAGAGGCAGAGCCTTTGCAGGCAATTCCGTGGCTTCTCATCTTGTATCTATCAAAAAAAAAAAAATACTCCTTTCTGCTAGGATAAGGGGTTCTCCAAGAGAAAATCAAACAGCAAACAGAAAAGCATTTCTGGAGTCCTCAAACACAGACACTCAAGCAAATGTTCCATGCAAAACTCTACATGGACAGAGGAAAGTCAAAAGTGGACAGCGATCATCTTGAAAATTATACCAAAAAAAACAAGAGAGTGCAAAGATCTACGTGTCATTATTCACGGAGGTAACATCGAAACATCTGAGGCTGACAGATGACATAAAGAAAATTATTTTGCCTACCTACATAACAATGGTCAAGGTTCAGGTTCATGGTTAGTGACCCTCGCTGAGAAGTGTCTGCCCTACAACCAGCCAACCACTTTGCTTCTTTAGTGCAGCGTGAGAGCAAATGCAAGAGACCGACACAGACATTCAAAGCATCATGGATAGGGGCAGGGGTGAAAGGGTTGGCCAAGCAGCTGCAAGGAGAAAGCGAGCACTTCTAGAAAAGCTGAGGTTATTAATCGGTTTAGTATCAGGGAAAGCCATTAGAAACCCTATTACCCAAATATCCCTTCAAGAAATGTTTCTGACAAAGAACTAAACAAAACAAGCAAATAAACAAACAAAACCAAAAACCATTTGAAGAAAAAACAAAACTGTAACCAGTCATCCCTCCCAACCGCCCCTCCGTGCCCACCTCCCACCCCCGGAGGATTTGCATCTTTGGTTTCCCCACCATCAAATGACACCTCTGAGGGATTTACAACGCCTTTCCCCATTTGTTCCAGACACCCCAACCTCCTCCCGTATCCCCCTCCCTTCCCCAGACTTTATCCCATAAAACCGGGATAGCTGTGTTTTAAAAAAGCAAAACAGGTCACTTGAAAAATCGACAAAGCTCATCTAGGGACAGGTTACCTATCTGCTATCTGGAGCAAAACCAAAAAGCAAAGCCCCAAAACTCAAGAACATAGCATCAAAAAGGGACTGATACCCTCAAAATTTCCAACAGCAGCAAAATAAACAAAGAAAAGATGCAGAAAGAAACAGGGAAGGGAAGAGATGTCAAGCTGAACGGAAGTAACACAGACTCTTCATGGAGATGTGGCAAACTCTCCCTTACTTGAAATCCACTGTCCCCAGAACAGCTTGGGTTCTCTGAGGAATAAATTTGATTTCTCTGAAACAGACTTCTTTTTAGTTTTCTTTTAGATGCACTGGTGGGCCCAGCCCAGAGTCACATCAAACTACTTCTGTATCTTTCTGCTGTTTGAAATAGATGGTTTGGTTTTTTTTTCAGCTCGAATAGCCTTTCTTTGGAGGATGGGTTTGGAGGGAAGAAAAAACAGGTGTGTGGAGGAGATTAAGATCAAAAACTAAGAATAACAAAACCAAAGCAAAATTATCCAGCCCCATTTTCAATTAACAACTGTCTGAGCAGTGTGAAACGCTAAAAGGCTTTTGCTGTGCTGCATGCAGCTCTGCTGTGTAACGTAGGCGATAACAACTGGGGATGCTCTTGCTTAGCATTCAGCCCAGACGAGCTACTTTCTTTTGGGAGCTGAGGGCTCATTAAAATGACCTTTCCCCATGATTATTATTTAATGAGCGCGCTCTAAAACAGAAACCCCTTGTGCCTCTGGAGGAAAAGTCTCAAGTAATCTCTTTTCCCACTGAAGTACTAATGACAGGCTGACAAAAAGAAGCTGTAAGGAAAAAAAAAATTGGGGTGAGGGTGGGGGAGGGAAACTGCAGTCAAATTTAATGCAGTAATTATCACATCCTTGAGCGCTACGGATTATGTGCGGGCATCTGAAAAACATTTACCACCCAAAAGGGACATAAAAACTTGCTGAGTATGTTCTGAAAAGAAAAAATGCCTATCTGTCAAATAACGGGGACCTTACGCACAGCAGCAATGAGGACAGAGAGCCTTCACGATTTACCTGCCTGCCTTGAGAGCCTAACAACACAAGAAAACAGCTGTAAATAATAGTAAAAAAAAAAAAAACCATAAAACGGATGAGCAAAATAAAAACGAAATAAAAGGAGTGGGGGTGGGAGAGAGGCCTTGATTTGGACAAAGGCAGCGAGCGACAATTGCTAGCAGGGATATTTGAATAATAGAGAGTACCCAGACTAGGTTAATTCCAGTTCTACTCATGGGGAGTGGGAGCAGGAGAGGGATGCAGAGCAGGATGGAGTGAAGCGGCAACCTAATCGCCTGCTAAGAGACACAGCAAGAGAGACAAGTACACAGGTTTAGTTAAAAATGAACTCGATATGTTTAATAAAGCTTGGTATACCAAATCGCAGTACAAACATCAAGTCACACGGCCACACAACAGTATCCCGGCAGTAAAAAAATGGTAATAACGGAAAGTAAAGGAATGCAACTGAAAAAGGGGAAGAAAAGCAAAACAAAACAAAACAAAAGCTCCTTCCAAGCCTCTTCAAGGCCCATGCCAAAATAAAATAGTAAGAGATAAAATAATAATAAGAGTAATAAAAAGAATATAATGGTGGTGGTGGCAGCAAGGAAGAAAGTGAGGGAGAAACTGAAGGGAGGAAGGGAGCAGGAAAGTAGGGAGAGGTGAACTCTAAAACCCAGTCGATATAAAAGCTCTAAAAGAGCCAGTCGGTCATAATATCACAACGATACAGGTACAAAAAGGATAAAAAATAACCGTCGGGCTGATACAGCAGGCTACGCTGCCAAGAACAAAGATGGCCGCCCTGGCTGCGACCATCAAAATGGCTGACCCCGGCCCGAGGGCCCTGCTCGCCCCCCGCCCGCCCCACGCAGACACGGTGGAGGGGTGCGTTTGCTATAAGCTAGTAACCTTGATCGAACGAGTCCTCCGAGGAGTCGCTGAAGGAAGATCCCGCCTCGGCCTCCCGCAGCAGCAGGCAGAAGGGCTGCTTGCGGCCCGCCGCCGCCTTGGCTTTCAGCGGCCGCCCGGCCGCCACACCGCGCGGGGCCGCCTTGGGGCCGCCGGCCGCCCGGCCGCCCTTCCTGGCCGCCGTGCTGTAGAGGCCAGGCGGCCGCGGCTTGGGGGCGGAGGGGGGCTGCGCCGGCCACTCGTCCCTCAGGGATCCCTCCTCCTCCTCCTCCGAGTCCGTATCTGCAGTCAGAGCGGGTGGGAACAGCGTTACCTCAGGGAACGGGGTTTGGGGGGGTTTCAGAGGGGGACAGAGGGCTGTTTTCGTGTGTTTCTGGGTGAAGGGGCTTTGCACCACGAGGGGCTGCGCGGCGCCCTGTCCTTCCTGCCAGGCCTCCGTCACGAGCCACAGGTCAGCTGCGAGCCGAATAAACACAGACATACACACCTCCTTCTTTCTGTTAGAAATAAACACTCTCCATCTAGATCCAGCGATCCTTTCTGCCTTACAGCAGGATCCAAGGCCTGCTCTCAGCTCAGGAACAGAAAGCTGAGACAGACCTTTCCAGACAGCCACCAAAGGTGCAGCGATGCCAATGACTGGCCGATCAACCCCAATCAACCTCAGCTTTATCCTCTGACTTTATCCCATTTCTACACAAACTGACTCTCTTGAACGGTTTCTGACACAGCCAGAGCAACCCCAGCTGCTAAGGGGCAACACGCCCAACTCCAAACACAGCACCCCAGAAACTCAGCAGCACAGAGTACACCGAAACAGAACAGTGACCAAACTCCTTGGCCCATTTTACCAAGCTGCAGACGGTGAGTTTTATACAACAATCCTCTCCAGTGTCAGATGAGCACAGCAGAAATGTACGGTGCCCCTGGATGTGATAGAAGCAGGTTTGAAGTGTCACATCCCAGCTCACAAACGCACAACTGACTCCGTAACATTATGGACATGGACCTTTCTAGCATGCAGGCAGCAGCAGATGCTCTCCAGTGTCAGCCCCAGCTGCACATCACTCCCCATCTCCATTGTGTCAGTTGTGGAGAGGAAGGAACAAGGGGTGGCAGCTTAGGAGGTCCAAAGTCCAAATACACAGAAGATCGGATGAACCTCACTTCCATTAACATGGATGGGAACAGGATACTCAGCTCACCCTCCGGATCCATGCCCAAGTTTTTCAGGACTCCAGCTAGAGAACCATGAGGTCAGGAGGAGGCACAAGCATTTGGCACCGGTCCCACTCTCCTCCACAAGGGCAGCCCACCAGTCACAGGAGGTGCTGCCATATGCTCAACCTGCCTTTCCAAATCCACCACGCTTGAGTGACCAGATGACTGCCTAAGGCCCTTTCCTTGAACTTGGCACACAGCTGAAAGAACGCGTATCAAAGCTGAGCCATTCCAGAGTCGGTTCCTCGGTAACAATAATCCTCCTGCTCTGAGATACATGTGGTGACACGGGCACAGTCCTACATCAGGACACTTGCTGGAAAGGAGAGGACCTGGACAGCAGCTCTCTTGCTCCTTTGGGTCCAGGAAGGAGATTTTGATCTTGAAATCGCAGAACCAAGTGCAAGAATACAGTGAAATCTCCTCCCAGCAAGGGGCTGTGCCTCCTCTCTAACCCTGCTTACCTCCCCAGCAGCTCCACAGCTCCCAGCTGAGGAGGCATGGGTCCTTTCCTGGGACTGAAGTACACTGAAGAGCAGTACTACGGAGTGGTCTGTAAAGCACAACCAGTCAAAAGCTGTGTTCTAGTCCAGTGAACACAATGGCTCCTATTTTGCCACGTAAATGGTTGTTTTCATGCCAAACATCTGTTTGTGTGGAGTCACTACCTCATCATCTTCCCCATTAGTGAAATTTCTAAACTGGTCTTGTACTGCTGCCACATACATTTGTTATGCATACAAATACCCCATAAGATCTTTAACGTGGGACTTAATTAGCTGCAACAAAGGACAAGATGTGTAAGTAAGTGAGCTACCAGGCCTCAGACCATAAACTTCAAGTCCTGCACATGCTTCTCTGCCCCACTGTCTGCCTGAGCCATTAAAGACTCTTCCATGCCTGGTCCTACATCTTCCTAATGCTATCTGCAATTCAGATTTTTCTTTCTGTAATGGTGTCTGCAGGAATCTTTGCCTTGGGTGCACTTTGGGCACACCGGTATGTAGGATGCCACGGAGCAGACTAATTCCGAAGGGAAGGCTGTACACAGCCACCCAGGAATCGGGCCACAATACTGCAGAAAGGCAGCACAATCCTTCAGACATCAATCTTCCCTGCAGACTATGCCCTTCCTACCTGCCTCCACAGCTTAAACCCACCCAACTCACTAAGTTGTCTCTACTAACCAGTTCCTAAGAAGAGGCAGTGAGAACTCATCTTGCAGCTAGATGGAGAGTGTCTACTCGCACTGAAAGCAAGGACATGATTTTACTACTTCTTCCCCAGAGACAAGCAACACAGGCCAGGAAGGGACAAGGCAACGTCTGCTACCTCTCGGATGGGGCAAGTTGGGTGGACATCTTACACTCAGCCCAAAGATGCAGCAGCATGGATTAACCAAGGAGAAGTCACCTTCCGCCCACGAGCAAAACCAGACCCATCTCCAAGAACATTTACAAGAGGTCAGAAACCCCGGCCACAAGCCCACACAACAGGTTACACCACAACAAGAGATAAATGAGGGATTACTTACTATAGGAGTAGCTGCTAACTTCAGATATTGCTGGTGAATGGGAAACCTTCAGCTGATTTTTGACTTTTAATCCCACCTCCATCTTCTTCATTTTGGCAGCCACTTTGTTTTTACCTTCCTTGGTGGATTTCAGGGACAGGCCCAGGTTTTTGGACAGGCTCTTCTTCTCCTCCTTACTTGGCAGAGCCTCATGAGAAGGAAGGTACCTGCTGCCACCTCCACCAGCTTTCAGCTTCCCCCCAGAGCTGTCAGCAAACTTGAAGGGGGATTTGAGTTTGTCTTGTTTGGTGAGCGACAGGGCCTTGTCGAGCTTGCTGGCCAGCTGTTCCTGATCCGATGGTACTTTCTTTTTCTTAAGCTTTAACTGTCAAGGTGAAAGGAAGGGATGCAGGTGAACACAAAGCAGGTATCATGGCAGACCCCAGGATTTTTAACTACCCTCATTTCAGTCTCCTGTGCTTGTCAATTAATAATGCCTCAAAAGGAGGATCCTCACTCCCATCGTGGTGCTAGGGAGAAAGACGGTGGCAAATGGGGCAGCTTCACCCTCATAAAGTAATATATAATCTCAAAGATAACTCAGAAAAACTGAGTTTTCTTCCAAAAGAAATATATTCACAAATTAACGTAGCTTGGAATTCTTTTCTTCTCAACACTCTCTGTTTTTTAGGATTTGTTTGGGTTTGGTTTACAAGCTGTTCTCTAGATCACAGGGATTGTAAGTCTTCTTTACCCCAAATTCCAGCCAAATAAATACATATTTCCATACAAGCAACCAGCTACAGTAGCAGAGATGCCAATAATACCCAAATACCTCTCAGCAAGAGCATCAGCACTACTGCATTACAGCCAGGGCTGTTACATTCTTTTTCCATATTTTCTTGCACTTTGAAAAAAAGTAAATTTACTTTACATGTGTTAAAGCTAGATAACAGCAGCTATAACTCAGTACTCTGCCTGTATGCATTTTGGATTTCAACAGCAGCTTAAAGCTCCAGTAATTTTCTCATTCCTTCAACAGGAGCAAAGGAAGACCCTGCATTTAAAACATTGAGACTGCACTCCGTTCTTCTCTCGCCTCGAAAAGTCAGTCACCCACTTCTGCCTCAACAGCCAGAGCAGTAATACAACCACTGCTCTGGATTCTGAGCTAGTACAACACTGCAACTCTCTGGCTGGCTCGAAGGTGCTAGCCTCCCTACCGATTATCAGAAAGACCCAACCTCCATCAGCCAGCATTAGCTTCTGCAAACACCCCTCTGCTGCACACAGCCCTTCCATGAGGAGCTGCTGAACACACGTGAACTGAGAACAGATGCTGAAAGATCAGGAGGAGTTATTCAAAGTAAGCCAACACCAGGCAAAGTGGGAAAAAGATCTGCTTTTGGCCTGTGGCTCCGCATTCCCCACGAGGGCACTGACCTCGTTTGAGAAGCTGGGAGCAGCATCGTGTTCTTCCCAGCTCTGGTTCCTCCCTTTCATCTTGCCACTGCCGCTCTCCACATCGTCATCCTCCTCCGGGAGGGCCCCTTTGTGCCTCTTCTTCATGCCCTCGCCAGTCTCAGAGTCTTCAGAGAGCAACAAGGACTTGCTTAGTCTGCAAGCCAAGCACAGGATGGGTCAAGGTGGGGGGCTTTCCTCCCTGTGATCCCCATCAAGCTCAAAAGTGAGGTAAAATGCCTCCTAGAACAGTGGGGATCCTTAATGGGAGCCAAGTCCACTGTGAAGCGACAGCGTTTGGACACAGAGAGGGCCTGACTCTTGTTTTCCACCAAAGAGGAGAGGCAGGGAGCCCTTCTTGGATAACAACACACAAATGAGAGACCCACAAGATGGTCTCTGAAAGGAAGTGTTTGGGGTCTTGAGTAACAGCCACTGAAAAAGCACCCAACTTGGTACAGCTCAGCAGGAGGAAGGTTAGGCAGCTGAGCTGGCTGTGGTGGTTTTACCCCACTTCTTTCATGGTCTCTAGGTGCAGACAGAGTCCTGAGGCCCAGGGAGGTGCTGCCATGCCTGGCACCAGGATGCTCAGTCTGATCAAGCAGGGTGTAAGGGCCGCACGGAGGGACAATGGCACCATGAGGACCAGCTTGCACAAAGGGCAGGCCATCCGCTTCACAAGCCTGGCCCACTGCAAGTGGCATTTGCAGACTGTGTTTTTGGTCTCTCTCCAGGATTTGTGGGGAAAGGAAAGGGTAAATACATAACAATAAAATAACACGAGATTAGATGCATGTCTTTCACTGTTCCCCAGCTGCCTCCATTAACTATCTGATGGATGCTGTGATCATTCAACACCTAAAGACCTCCACCAAGCCTCCACTGAAAGCTCTCACTGCCACCTCCTTCACGCTGAGCCTGCTGGCCCATATCACACTGCTACCACAAAGCCAATGACAGTCTCTAGGCACTTCCCCTCCCTTCTGTCCTTTCTGCTGAACACTGTACTCAGCTAAAACAACAACTCCTGCCCTGTACACTGAAGGTGCACCTCCACCTCTCAGACCAGGTCACTCCTGCATTCCTGTAACACAAGGATGTGCATACCAATACGCTCATGCATGCACACATGCACAGCTCCAGCTACCTCTGGATGCCTCCAGCCTGCTCAGCCATCCGAACACGAGGAGCAAAACAGAGCCACCGAGAGGACAGATCTTCAGAAGCACGCAGTCAGTGGGAGCTGGGCACCTGAATCTGACTGAAAAGGATATTTGCAAAAAATTGAATGGGGAGGCAGCTTGGAGATGCCCTCCCTTTGGAGAGGCTTAGCCATCTAAGGGATGGTCAGATGGCCAATTGAGATCCAGGTATCCAAACGAGATCGGCTGGACTTGCATAAGAGAAAAAAAGGAGAAAAGAGAATGACCCAGACACTGGAAAGAGAAAGGCCAGGCCAAACCAACTCCCACTGATGAGAGGAACAGGAGGTGAAGACACAAGAAATGCGGCAGAAAGGCCCGAGAAAACAGAAAACCTGGACCAGCCCTATCCTTCCAGTTTTTGACATCAGCATCCCTGCCATGAGCTCTATGGCACCCTCCTGCATTGTACTCCCGACAGGGCACAAGGACAAGCTCCCAACACCGAGCGCTCAACACCACTCAACTCTGCCTGACCTACCCACAGCCAACATGCAGACACATGGGCTGGCATCGCCTTCCCACCGTGAGGCCATGCTCGTGTTGAACGCTTCCACACCACTGATGTAAGACCATCCTCCCTGACCATCACCAAGGCGAGACCCCGCTGCATCCGAGATGCTTTCCCCAAGTACGACCCTGTGCAGCGACCCTGCCATTTTCCCATCTTCCCCGAATTCCAGCCTTACTTTCCACTCTTGCTGTCACTCTTCCCTCTCTCCTTAATGGGCGACAGAGCGCTTGATCCAAGTTTCCTCTTCCTGGGCCTTCCAGGGCCTCTTCTCGCCAAGCTTCTACTTTTCTCGTCATGCTTTTCCCTTTAAAAAAACCACACGCTTCACTGTTAACCAAGGCAACAAAACAAAAAAAAAAAAAAAGGAAAAAAAAACAGCAAAGAAAAAAAATCAAATTTTGCAACCAAAAAGCAAACCAAACAGGGAAAAATAATAAAGCAAATAAATCCAAAAAGAAGAAAAAGAAAAAAAAAAAAAAAAGAAAGCAAGCAAGAACGGGAGCCAACCCAGAACCTTCGCCTGTCACCGAACTGCTAAACTGAGCTGCTGAAGCCAAGGATGTCTCTAACAATGGTCTCCCAGCTGCGTTCACCAGTGATGGGGTGATGTGTCACATAGCCTAGGAGTGTGTTGTGCAAAGCTCTGGCGAGCCATACCAGGAGGAGAGGAGACAGGGAGGGATGGAAGGCTGTTTTCTCTCCTGGACCGAGAGGCAGTGGTAGGTGCCCAGCTGGAAAAGAAAAGACCAAGTGCACAGCCTGCCACTTACTCGGAGTCCCTGCGCCTCTGCAGCTTCACCAGCTCCCGCTGCTTCTCCTTGTAGCGCCGCTGCAGCTCCGCCAGCCTCATCCTGTAGTCCAGCTCCATTGCATCCATGTTCTCAATGGCTGATTTGATAGAGTACATCTGGGGGGGGGGGAGACAAGAGGGGTGGAGAAGGTCAGGGCATGTCCTGGTCCCCATTCTAGATTGTGGTGCCTTCGCAGTGCAGTGCACACACCCTGTGTGCTGATATTGGAGCAGAGCACTTTTGCCCCCATCAGGCACAGCCTGAGAGTGGTATGGGAACAAAACCAGCCAAGCAAAGATGCTCGGTGGCTGGGCAAGGTTTCAGCTCTGAGAAAGAGCAACCTCCCTGGGAAATAACTTGCAGAGCAAAATACACCCGTGGAGCCTCTTCTCCCTTATTTAAAAACACAGATCAAAATATTCCTGGAACACTTACTTGCTGGGTACAACATAATTTCTCAGTGTCTCCCATGGGGAAGAGTCAGGAAAGAAAAAGGAAGGAAAAACCCTGCTGCCACTATCTTTACTTATTCTCCCCACCAAAGCAGTAACATACGAGTTCCTGCTGGCTCTGTATTACAAGCACCACTTCTAGGGCTACGGAGGGTCCCGCTGAGATCAATGGTGTTGATTCACAAACAAGACAGAAAGCTGAAGTGCACCATGCCAACTCATGTGCTGTTAGGAACACAGAGGGAAGTTCTGCCCAGTGCAGAAGGATGGCATTCGGCAACTGGGAGGGCAAGCAGTGGTGAGCGGATGTGCTGTGGCTTTTCAGGTTCAGCCACGCTGAGAGCTACTTACGGGCTCATCTTTCTTCTGCATCCAGCTGTACTTTTTGTTGGGATTCAGCTCTCGAGGCAGTCGGATGGTTTTCAGACTTTCCATAAAGGGGGTGGAAAGTACTTCCATGAGCATGTGGGTGCTGGCAGCCAGCAAACTCTCCAGCGTTGGCCGGACAGGGAAACTCTCTGAACCTGTTGGGAAGAGGTTGATCCTGTGATACTATCCCTCTGGTGGGCACAAGGAAAGGCTCTCATCCCTCCCCGATCAAGCAGTCTCTGGGATACCCCAGCCCCCACTTGAGATCTCCCGTTGTACCCCGCCACGCTGCAGCTTGCAGCTCCCACCACGTCTCATCTCAGGAAGTTACTGAAGGTGAGATCCTTTCAGGACCTGCCAAGCTCTTGGAAAGCATCATCTGGAGCTCCAGGGGCCTCCTGTGCCAAGCCCCAACAGACTGCAGGCTCAGCCCCTGCCAGAAGGGTGTTACCCTGGCAGCAAGTGGGGCTCCATTTCCACTATGCATACCACAAACTGTCTAGACATGGGGAGGGCCTTTGGAAGGGGGGAGCAGTCCAGATGCCACGTGCAGCTCAGCCTGCTACAACAAAAACCCCTTCCTCAAGCCCCTCCGAAGTGCCTGAAGTGTGGGGCATCACTCCTTGCTGCCTGGCTGAGGCTGCAAGAGACCTCAGCTGGGCCTCTACTCCTCTGTGCATGCAGAACACAAGCAGACCTGACTCAACCCAAGGCCTGCCAGACCTCGCTCCCATCACTTACTTTGCATTTCTTGCTTCCGTTTCTCCAGCTCCATCTCTGCAATTTCACTCAGCAAAGTGATCCCTTGCAGGAAGGAGTGCTCCAAGGCCTGGTCAGGTAACACCTCCATCTGCATCTGGGATGGAGCGACGCTGGCAGTAGTCAACAAAGAACAAGCCTGAGGCATTTCCGTGGCAGCCACCAAAGCGTTCATCCCCGCCAGCGGGTCACCCGGCTTGATGTCCAGAGTCGGGATTTGGCAAGAGATTGCCTCATCTGGGTAGGAGGGCATCTCTGGCCCCTGCTCACCCTCCTCAGAGGGCAGGCTGGGAAACTCCCTGCCCCGGGGCACATCAGCACCCTGCAGATCCATGGCTACAGAGGCCTCTTCCTGCTGGGGAGTCAAGTCCATCTCAGGTGTCTCGCTCTCTGTGTGCACTAGCGAGCTGTCATAGTCCATGTGCACAGAGCAGGTTTCTGCTCCACCCTCAGGCTCTGCCCGAGCCTCATCTTCCACCTGGCAAGCCACAACCTGGTAAGGAGGTGGGCAGCTCTGGAGGTCTTCCTGGTCCTGTTCCATAGCACCCAAGGCTTCTCCTTGATGCAACAGCAAATTGCAGCTGTCCACGTTCTGCACTGGGACAGCCGCAGTGGTGGCGATGTTCAGGGCGCCCATGTCCTGCTCACAGATGCTCTCTTGGCTTTCCTCCATCTGCACTTCCGATTTCACCCTCTCTTCCAACGACTCCTCTTCTGCTGCTGTTGGGATGGGTTCTAGCATTTTGGACGGAGACAGGTGGATGGGTTTGACTTCAGGAGAAAGCTCCATGTGCTCAGAGCCTTCGGCAGGCAGCGGGACATCGGGAGCCAGGCCGTCTGCATCAGCCGCCGCGGTGGGCTGGAGGAGGTAGGGGTAGTGTCTGCCGAAGGAGGGAGGCAAGGACTGGAATGGATATCCCGGGGGGATCTCTGCAAGACATCGGAAGGGACAGGCTGTGTAATGGCAAGGTCTCCAATGTGTCTTCCCTCATGGAGGCACAGGGATGGGTTCCCTTTGCTTCCGTCAATTCACAGCTCTTCCTATTCTCACAGTAGCTACTTGGGCATCTCTCTTCTGGCCAAGCTGCCAAGCTCTGCCTTAGGCTGCAGCACCAGAAATGTCCCTTCTGCATATCTCCAGCAACTACAGTGGGATTCTGCATCCTGCATTCATCCTCCCATGGAGATCTCAGCTCCGGAGGAACCAACCCAGGTTCAACCCAAGGGAAGAACAGAGCCCACAGCACCAGGTGCCCCTAGAACCCAAGCAATGATCCCAGCCAACCACAGCACTCTGCTGCCTGCCTCTCCCCTGCCTTTTACGGAGGCGCGACATGGTTTTCTTTAGGGAAAGGGATGGAAGCAGGAAAGAGCTGAGGAGAAAAAAGGGAGGCAGGCACAAACACAATGGGACTCTGTCAAAGCAGGGCTCTCTTACCTTGGAACAAGGCCTGAAATGGACCAGCAGCCTCTTTTTCCAATTCCAGGTCTTTCTTCTCCACGGACTCGGGTGCCTCTTCCTTTGGAGGGATGGCAGGGGCAGGGGGTGGAGAGGCGGGGGGCGGGCTGGAGGGGTGGGAGCTGGGGGTGGCAGGGTAGGAGTAGGCTGGCTGCGAAGGTGGCTCCTCCATCTTTTGGATCACCTCAGCTTTGAGCACAGACACGGGTGAGGCCCTGGGAGAGAGGGGAGGTGGACTCACAGCCTTGCTGTAGGATGTGGAGGCGCTGGGCGACAGCACGGGTGGCTTTCGGTGTACCAGTCCTGGGGCAGAGGAGGACAGGCCTGATTTGGCACTGTCCAGGCTCCTTTTCGTCACCTTCTCTTCCATATCTGCACGCTGTTCATTTGCCTTCAACCTCTCCTGTGATAAGAACAGAGCAAAACTCAGCACATCTCCACCTGCTCCTGGAGAGAAGCACAGATCTACCACCAAATGAAACCAAATCTTTATCCAACACAACTGGAATAAAACGTGCTACCAACTGCAACACCATTTTAAGGCCAATGTGATAGAGGGAGATGCTGATCCTAAACTAACACCTCCCAGGCAGAAGCGTGCTGGGACAGAGAAGGGTTAAAGTGCTCAGAGGTAAGAAAGGTCTCCTGGACCTGGATGAAGATCTGATAGGAAGCACTGGCAGAAAGAGATGGAGACTCCTCTGGGACTCACCAAGGCTTATAATAGCCTTTTTTATGAAGTTCCAGATCCAGGAGTCATGGGAAGGGTGTCTCAGCTTTCAAATGCAGCCCAAAAAAAAAAAATGGTTTCTATTTCTAAGCCTCCAGCTTGGCAAGCACAAATATAAAGCTAAGGCCTAAAAACAGATGACCACTACAAAAATTAACTGGGTGCAAAACACACCCAAATGAAACCTAACGGTTGCCAAAACCTTCTGGTGAATAGGAGCTGGTTTCAAGGACCCAAAGCAATCACTGCCAGAACTGCAGCTGCTCCTTCAAGCCACTGCAGGAGGTCTGCCTGGAGGTGAGCAGGGATGAAAGCACTCAATAAACAGAGCCATCCCTAGGGAAGGAATCACAGCCATGCCATGGAGCAGCTCTCCTGACACCACTCAGGCTCTCTACAACAAACCCCCTAGACAACCCAACTTCGGGCTTCCACCTCTAAGCTAGATGCTCTCCAAGACGTACCACGAGCTGAGCGCTCCGCTGTAGCTCCATGGCATGTGCTGCTTGCTGCTGCAGGATGTACAGCTCGTGCTGCCGCAGCAGCTGCTGATGGGAGAGGAGCTGGAGCTGGTGAGCGTGCTGCAGGGAGCTCCGGGTCGGGGGGTACATGGCAGGCCACAGGGGGGGAGCCCGGTCCATCAGCTCCGCTGCAAAACAAGCACGGTTAGAGGATTAAGGGCTGTTCAGGGCAAGAGTCTCTAACCCAACTCCATGGTGAGGGGACACTTAACATCAAGCCATGCAAAAACACTATCAGAAACGCAAAGGGGAAAGCATGTTGTCCTTCTCCCCCACTTCTGGGGCCGTCTGACTTGCTGTGCTCTCTCAGCCTTGGCTTGCCCACCCTTGGTTGATCCCAAGGGCAAATTCTCCTAACCAGGGATCCAAACTCTATGTGGTTCTCTACAGGGTGAGAAACCAGTGCTGAAGATAGCACATCTTCATTTCCAAAATGCAATGTAACAAGAAGCAAGCCCATGGCCACCTAGAACTGTGGTTTCTGCTCTCCCTGGATATGCATTTTCCCACTGAGCCAACTCCAAAGCCACTTCCCCTCCTCAGGAATACACTCACGTCCTTACCAAAGTGCGGCAAGTGCTCACTGGGGATAACAACAAGCTGCCCCGACTGCGGGTCTCTGGCAAACTGGTAGGCAGAAGGGAGGGCCCCTCCCATGGCAGGGGGGAAGCCTGGAGTCATGCCCTGGTGCAGGGATGGGTGGCCAAGTCCTGAAAGAAGAAACACCACAATCACAACTGAGGGGATGCACGCAACAATTCATCTGCTCTTTGATGGCTCCAAAACACCGCGTTCCCGTTCCCATGTAGTCAGAGAGCAGCCTCCCTGGGCACTCAGCAGTGGGTTGCATTGCTGTGGGCGCCCTGGGGTGCCTCTAGGGCACTCACCGTAGGGGTGGCCGGCCAGCCACATGGAGGGGCTGCCAGTTCGGGGGAGCCAGGGGTGCGCTGCCAAGTGCGAAGCCGGGTCTGTGGACCAGCGCCCGGAGCCCGCCAAGGCCGGACCTCCCGTCACCATCAGGTTGGAGTTCAAACCGTTCGTGGCACAGCCGGAGGGGTGGATCCGAGCGAAATCCACCAGCTCTTTGCTCTCTCTGGTCATGAGGGAGGCAAGGGAGAGAATGAGAGGGTCTGAGTGCTGCAGGAGGACGGGAACACAATGCACGGGGCAGGCACAACCCTCACCTGAGCAGCTTCTCCTGGTCCCGCTCCAGCCGCCCTGCCAGGAGGTGGCCGTCCCGGTGACGACTCCTCTCGTCCCCGCAGTCATCTTCAGAGCGGCTGTGCCCTAAGAGACAAACCAGTGCCATCACAGATGAGAAGCTTGGAAAAGCCGTCTGCACAAAGTACTGAGTTCAAGGCCCGGAGGACAGAGCAGGGCTGTCTGCGCGGCCCCACTCTTGCTAAGAGGGGTTCCTGGAAGCATCACCCTGTTGGAAGGAGCCAGCTAAACCCCTGCATCCAACCACGCAGCTGTGCTCAGCACATCTCATGGGGGAGATCTGAGCCACCTGAGGAGGCTCCTTACGCCCTCACAAACTGGGAGCACTGGGTGCACCCCGAAGCCCTGTCCTCCTGCAGACGCTCACAAAAACATCAGGCTCCGTTCTGCAATCCAGTCCCTTAGAGGGAATCCACACTCTCCTGCCAAACCGTGCAACAGGAAAGGGTCTGGTGAAGCGAGGGTACATATGGCAGATGAGGGCAGGGATCCAAAACAAGGGCTGGCTGTTGGGCTGAGAGACAGCTCCTCCGGATCACAACAGCTCCCACAAGCACAGCCTGGCAGGGGAGGCAGCAACCTGCACAGCAGCAAACACTGAGACACTCAGCCTTGCCAGCCCTGCCACTCTTATTTATCTAAAATTTTTGGCTACCTGACTTTAGACATGGTTTTCTGCAGCTTTATCCCTAACTACCTTGTTACATATGCATTTTTTCCCACATCTCCCTGCTGTCCCCATCCATGTTATACTTGGGTGATCCCTGAATCCCAGCCCTGGCGTGTGGGCACGGTTTGGGCACAAGGACACCCCTAACAGCCAGTCCACCCAGCTGACAAGCAGCTTTTTGAAGGAGGGCCCCGCTGTGTATTTCCTCAAACCCAGACAGCCCGTGGTTTTTATGCTGTCAGGTCTCCAATTCCCTCAGCTTCTACTGTCAGAAGGAATGCAGCAACAAGACAACAACTCTCCCAGCTCCTCTCCCTGGGCTCCTTCCAAGGGCTGCAGGCAGAAAGCAAAGATGCTCTCAACACTGGCGCACACCTCTCCCTCCCAGAAGGCCTTCCAAGGTCAGCAGCTGCCCCTCATCTCCCACCCATCCCCACTACCTGCGAGCTGCTATTCCCAGCCAGCTCCACCATCCTCTTCTCATCCCCCATGCACACACACACACAGACTTTCTAATTTCTGCCACTCCTCCCCAGCCTCGCTAATGGGACGCTCCTTTAGCCGTACAGACCGACGATTGTTCGGATGGTGAATGATCATTTTGTCCATATATACGAACATGACGCACAGACCGCATAGAAAAATTCAATCAGTTATGCAGAGAGGAAAGGCTCAGGTCCGTTTCCCTGACAACCAATGCCCGGCACTAAATACTTGCATTTTACTTGCCAAATACTACAGATTAGCCCACTAAAGCCTGCTTTCTCCTTCTTAAAAGGTCTAAACATTCAAGCACTGTCCACTCAGCGCGAGCAAGCTAATGTTATTAGACGAAGATCTCCCGGCACACAAAGGGGGGGGCAGCATTTGGGGGGCGAGAGGAGGAGAAAAGCAGTCTTGTTTTCTGTCTGAAAGCCAACTGCATCGCTTAGCAACGGGCCCACAGGCCGGCCAGAATTCAGTCCTTGTTTGCAGCCTTTTAGTTGGGCTCAGTAAATTACATTTAACATGAGTTGGGAGGGTCTGGGCGATGGAAAGGCAGAACAAGCAGAGCCCTGTGCTGCCCACCACGTCCCCAGGGAGCTCCCAGGGGCGAAGGGAAGTGACAGGAACGGGGAGATTTGGGGTTTCTGTTGCTTCCCACATTAATGGGGGTCAAAGCAGTGGAAAGCAGCTGTGCTGGGAGGTGAACAGAGAAGGGAAATGGGGTGCTGGCAATGGGTTCCCTTCCTCCTCACTGCTCACACGGGTGGCTGAGCTCCCAAGCTCTCCAGCAGCCCCTGAGAGGCTCTGGTGGACCCTGGGCTTTGGCTCAGCGTGGCTGCAGCTGATGGCCCATGGCAGAGCAAAACTGCACAGAGCAGAGTCCCACCAGAGTCAGAGCAGTGCAGCTGCAACCACACCCCCAGGGCGAGCACAGGACTGGAAGGAAGAGTCCTCACTTCACCAATGTTTACAACAACAACTTGGCTGGGAACACGAGGCAAAGGGAGCTGAGAACACTCAATGCAGCCCACGCCATGCGGCAGCTCTACCTGCTCCAGATCCACACAGAAAGCCTCAGGACAGGAGAACCCACCTTTGATGCTGCTGAGAGACAGCGAGCGATCCCGGTCCGCCAGGCTGGGCGCCAGCTTGCTGCTGCTGCTGCTGCTGCTGTTGTCCTTCTGCCGGGCCACGGCCACGGCGATGCCGACAGGCAGGTGCCTCACCTCCACCTCCCCCTGTGAGCCGATGCTCTCACGGCCGAAGGATTTGGCACTCTCAGGTCTCTCGGGGTCCCTCTTCAGCTGCTTGGCCGGCTGCTGTGTCAGCAGCTGCTGCACTTTGGAGGTGCCCAGCTGCGATGAGTCCAACTTCATGTTGCCCAAGCCACCAAAGGGGCTCTTCTTGCCACAGCTCTGCCGGGACGCGGTCTCTTTGGCAAAGCTGCCGCTGTATTTGATGAGGCTCTGCATGGCCGAGCCTTCGCTGTGGGAAGTGGGGTGCAGGACGTCGGCAGCGCCCCGTGAGCCCACCACCGAAGAACGTGGCAAGCCGCTGGGGTCCAGGTAGACCTTCTTGGCCTCCTCCTCTGCCCGGGTGACGTGGTTGTGCTGCGCGGCCAGCACCGCCATCTGCGTGGTGGCAAAGTTGCCCATCTCAAAGGGTTTCCACTTCTGCTCGGGAGGCTTCAGCTGGCTGTGGTCCAGGTGCTGCCGAGAGGAGTCCAAAGTGCTGTAAACTTTTGTCGCTTCTTTGGAGCTGGATCGCTGGAAGCGCTCCCGCTCGCAGGGACGGTGCTCCGCTTCCGGACTCGACTTCAGCAAGTCCTTGGCGGCCAGGAACTCCCTGCTCTCCGGAGAGCCCAGCCCCGGCCGGTTGAGGAAGGGCTCTGAAGCAACCTGTCTCTTCAGAGCCATGGAGTTGGCCCTGATGACCGAACCCTTCTCCCTCAGGGCCTCCATCCTTTTGGCATCGCCGTGGCAAGAGAAGTCCTGGGAGAGGAGTGCGCGGGGGGCGTCGGCGAGGCAGCGCTCCGGGGGCGACTGCAGCACGCCGGCCTTGCCCAGCTCCTTCTCCTTGGCCTTGTTGTCGCGGGCCTGCGAGGCGATCTGGATGGGCCCGCTCCTCTCGTCGTAGGCCTCGACCGAAGGCACGAAGGTGGGCGCGATGACTTTGTGCTCCCTTCCCAGCTCCTTGGCCGGCGGGAAGATGGTGTACACGCTGGAATGGACGGGCTGAGGGGGGAAGGTGGCGGCGGGCACCATTTTGCCCGGCTGCGAGGGATGCGGGGAGGGACAGCTGCAGGAGACGTGCAGAGCACCCACGGAGGGCAGCAGGGTCTCGCCCCGCTTCAGCCGCTCGGCGTGGGCGTGCGCAGAAGGCCTCACGTTCTCGTCGTGCCGCGCAGGGTCCTTGGCGCAGCGGTCCTGCTCGGCGCCCAGCACCTTCAGCACGGGATCCCCGCCGCCATTGCAGTTGCTGAGGGACGAGCTCTGCAGCGGGTTCTTGGACTTTGCCTCCCCGCCGCCCCCGCCCCGGCTTGGCACGTGCTCAGCCAGAAAGGGCGACAGGCGCTCGCCCGCCTTCGCCGCCTTCTCCACCACGCTCACTTTCCGCTCGCCGTCGGGCTTGGTGTCCTGCGTCAGGTCCACCACGCTGCGGGGCCGCGGCTCCTCCTTCGGCCTGCCCTCCTTCTTGGTGAAGGGCAGGGAGAGCTCAGTCCTGCAGCCCCGCTCCTTCCCGCCGGGGTCTTTCAGGCTCTCCTTCGAGCTCTTGTGCAGCTGCCCCAGCTCCTTCTCCCGCAGCAGAGCGCTCGCTGCGTGGCCGCCTGCGCTCCTCGCGAGGGGCGGCTGTGGGTGCAAGGCCGACTGAGCTGCGTGGCCGGATAGGTAGAACCCATCTGCAAAGCAAAAGCAAACAGGATGACAGCAGCCTCCCACCCCTTCAGTCCTACCCGGGCACAACTGCAGAATCATTACGGTTATCTCTAAGATCATCAAGTCCAGCCCCAGCCCATCCCACCGTGACACCAAACCACGTCCCCCAGTGCCACATCCACACGGTTCTTCAGCGCCTCCAGAGACACTGACCCCACCGCTCCTGGGCAGCAGTGTCAGTGCAACACCGCTCCTTTGGAGATGAAATGTTTCCTAATACCCAACCTGATCCTCTCCTGGCACAACTTGAGGCCATCACCTCTCATCCTATCACTGTTACCTAGGAACAGAGGTCAACCCCCACCTCTCCACAACCTCCTTTCAGGGAGCTGGAAAGAGCAATGAAGTCCCCTCTGAGCCCCTCTTCTGGGGTCTAAACAATCCCAGCTCCTCCACCCACCTCCCATAACACTTATGCTCCAGACCCTCACTGGACACAGTCCAGGGCCTCCGTGTCTTTCTTGTATTGAGGAGATCAGGTTGTGAGGATGACAACGCGGGGATCTCCAGGTTGTGGAACAACCCCTAATGCACAGTGATGCAACAGCAAACGGGGCTGCAAGGAGGGACCTGGCCAGGTTTCCCACAGCAATGCCACATTCAAGACTTCAGTATTGCTGAGACCGAGGGATGTTACCATTCAGGAATGTCACAACACCCAGCAGCTCCAGCTGGGGGGAGGAGGAGCGGGGGACAGGACATGCGGGGATGCTCTCACCTTTTTGCGACTCGAAGAGGCTGTGCTGACCCAGCTGGGCCAGCAGCGGGCTGCCAGCACTGGGGGGCTCGAGGTGGCTCAGGGGAATGTAGGACGGGTAGAGCCCATTAGGCAGATGGGAAAAGCCTGGAGGAAGATGGAAACAGAAGAGGGAAACATGTTTCAGCCCAAGCAGAGCGCAGTCTGTTGCAGCTGTTGGTCCCCTGCATGCCAGCTGTGGGGACACGCAGCAGCGCAGGGCACTGAGCACTGCTCAGGTTTCCCATGCACAGCAGTCCCCAAAGAGCACCCAAGAGTGGGCTGCAAACCCACGCTGTGCCCACACAGCCCATCCCAACACAGGGTACTAGCTTTTGGCAGAAGCATGAGCACACCATCCCCATCAGCTGGCACAAAACAGCACCACACCTATCCAAAGCAGCACCGCATCCTAGGGGACGGCGACCCCGAGCTGAAAGCTGTCAGACCACCATCAGCTGTAAGAGAACAGCATGCTCTCAGGTCTGGCTTTTGTTCTGGACACCAAGTGAGCCCCCAGCATCTTCATGGAAATCTTAAGCAGCAGCATTTCATAAATGAATAGTCATAATAAAATTGGGAATCAAGAAAGCTCTTGGCTGCAGGAAGCAATTCTTCTGCAACACTGCCACCAAACGGCACCCGGCAATGCTGCAAATCCAGCACCGCTGCAAATCCAGCACCGCTGCAAATCCAGCACTGCATGCCGCCCCAAGAACGGGCAGAAGGGGAAGCAGCTCCTCCGCTGGTGTCAACATTTACAAACTGCATAAAAGCCATCAGGAGATTCTGAAGGAGCCAGTGGAGCCCTCTGCAAGCTTCCCTTCAGATCCCATCAGCAACAAACCACCCCAAAATCCTACAATCTCACTGAAAGCAAACATGCAATAATGACCTCTCTCAAGCTTTGGGCATTCGGCTGGATCCAAACAAAGCCGCACCAAAACCAGGAGAGGGAAGTTCAGCCCCTGAAGCTGCACATGGAGCACCATCCACAAGAGCCAGTCAGTACTGCACATTATTTAGACAGCCTCATCTCTACCAGCAACACCATTTGACCTTGCTAAGTGCTGGGCTGCATTTGCCCATCCATTCCTTGCCAAAGCCTTCCGGGAGATGAACCCAACGCAAACACAACCCCCAGACAAACACCGGAGCACCCCTTCCTCTGCACAGCCCTCTGGCTGCCCTAAGCCTGACACACACCCAAAACCTGCTGCCTGGCAGCCCCAGGCACGGCCTGCAGCAGCAGGCACACAGCAGTGGCCACAGGCAAGCCGCTTCCTCCTTGCATCTCTGTGCCAGAAAGCGATGCCAAGGGGAGAAACTCGACCGCAGTGAGCAACGCACAGCTCACCCCAACCATGGGTTCCTGCCAAAGGGAAGGGAGGGGAGAAGGGGAAACCACAGCCATGTGCCCAGGGACGGGGCAGTCGCTGAACCGGCACAAGATGCTTATTGCCCAGGGATGTGCCCAGGGGCTCGGCAGGCTGAGCCACGCTCCTGCAGCCTGCTGATGGAACGGGAGGCAGGCGTGGGGCGAGGAAGCCACAGGGAGGTGGGAAACAGCATCCTTGGGGTATCCGATGCCTCTACATGCAACCCATCTCCCCAGTGGTAAAACGTACCCACGTTGCACAGGAGCCGTCAATGAAGCCATCGATCACTATCACCGAGGCTGCTGTTAGAGGAACTCGGCGGGCACAGATGTGTCAACCCTGCTGAAAACGGTGGCGGAGGGGAAGAGGCAGGGCCCTGTGACTCACCGCCGAGCGGGCACAGGGCGATGGGGAGCTGAGATAGCAGCGACCGCAGCAACCACACGCCGGAGCCTCACTCGGGGGAGCACCGCCGGGGTGCAGCTCCGTGGGGAGTCCAGCCCCACACTGCCCAGGTTCCAACCACCCGGCAGCAGCACCAAGAAGCTGCATCCCCAAAGCACCAGTAGTGTCCAGCTCTCTGGTCCCCGCTGTCAGCTGGGAGAGAAGCACGCAGCCCTCACCAGGGGCGATCACGAGTGAAAGCCCTCTGTGCCCGAGAAGCCGCAGCCCCACCATCGGAAGGCTCTGGAAGACGTGAAGTAATTCTCCCCCATGGGCCCATCTGTCCGTTATGGGTTTCTGCCAGTGATGAAATATTGCTAACCACCAGCACCTCGCCCCCTCCCTCAGCACTGCGCTGTGATGCAAGGGGCTGCAGGTCATAAGGGCCCTGAGCCCAATACTCTCCCCAGGACCCCTCGATCTGAGCCTACAGTCACTGCACGTCCCCGATCCCGGTGCCAGCAGCAGCACCCTGCTGGGGGGAACCCTTTTGGGAACCCTCCGTCCCACCTCCCACCTCCCTGCTGCATCCCACAGCAGCACAGCAGGGGCTGTTTCTCGCACACACATTTGCAGCTCGCCAACAGCTGAGAGCCGGCAGCGCTGACGGCGTAAATCTCCGCCACCTCCTCCCTGCAGTGACACCCCAGGCACCAGAGCTGGTCTGACTCCGTGCCACACACGAGACAGCAGCGCTGCGAGCCCCCAGGCGCTGACATCAAAGCCCTGCATCAGATGCACCCGGATCGCTGCACTGTGCCACTGAATCCACCCCCCCGCCCAAACCCCAACCCCACCGTGCCAGCTGCTCCTAAGACACATTTACAGCCTCCGTTCTGCCCGTCCCCTGAAGGACTTGGGGCTCGCTCCCTCAGTCTGACCCCCACATCTCTCCCATCACCACGCCGCTTCCCTCCAGCTGCAAAATCACCCCTTTAAATCAAACACAAACTCGCCACCAGCTTGGCACCCACGTCTATTGTTTCTTTTCACTTCGCTTTACCCCACGTAGGAACCCCGCTGTCCAGGCTGTTTTATTTTGAAGCAACTCTTGCTCAATATTTACTACTGCTGGCAGCAGCGTCACCACCGCAGCACCAGGCGGACCCCCCCCTCTGCCAGCACCCAGTGCTCCCAGCACACGTCCCACCCAGCCCAGAGGATGCAGAGGGCAGGAGGCGTGAGCCAGGCTGCTGGCTCGGTTCTTTCTGGCCGCGAGTTTTATGAGAGCAGCTCTACAGGGAAGCAGCAGTGAGCTCCTGGGCAGCACGACGTGTTGCTGCGGCTCTCTGCCCGCCGGGGCTGGCAGCCCTGGTGTGCTGGGGTGCGTGCAGGCAGCACCATGCAGCATGGGACACGCACAGCCAGCCCGGTCCCACGCGCCCCACATTAATCCCAAAGCATGAAAACAGCCCAAGTGGTGTCAACACTCGTGTGTCACCACCAGCGGTGACAGCAGTCCCCTGCCTGAAACCCCAGCTGCGCCACACACCTCCAATCTCCTGCTGAATTAAACCCAACACCCCGATGGGCACCTCCCCAGATCCACCCTCTAGCTCCACGTTCTGCAAGGTGCTGGATGGGAATTAAAAAATATCACCCAACTCTCAGATTCCTCCCCAAAATCCCCAGGAATGAAGCAACTGGATGCTAGAAAGCAAGCCTGCCCAGGATTCCTCCCTCCCAGCCACCCCGTGCCACCACTGCCCCACGAGCCCTGGGGATGAAGCTGTCCTGTATGGGGGCCCTAAGGCCAGCACGGGTCCCACCAAGGATGTGCACGCGTTATTTGCATCTCCACTAAGCAAAGAAACTTCACCCAGCTCCTTCCTGTTATCCTCATTTTGTTTTAATTACTCAAAACCAGTGCAGAAGCAGCAAACCATCGAGCCTGGGCTCCTGAACAATTAACCCAGCAACACCCACGTGTTCGTTATAGGAGAGCTCGTTAGGCAGCACCAGGAGAACCATGGGCACCCAATGGGGGCCATTACTGCAGCATGGCACAGCACCAGCCCCACATCACCTGCCAGCAGCAATTCCAGCAGCTTCAGAGAGCTCCCAGAGCCACGAGCCGTGCCCCGCAGGCAGTGCAGCCTATTTTCAGCCACAATGACTTCAGCCCAGGTCACCAGCAGGTTAAATGGGACCGTGCCACGTTATCCACCCCTCCTTCCCACTGAGAAACCGAACACCGCTGCGAGCCGGGCAGCAGCCAGCCCTAAGCTGGGTGAGTGCCACCTGCACACTGCTTTGGACAACACGGAGCTGGGAATGCAGTGCTGCACCAGTGCTGCTGTTCCTGCAGGCAGACCGCAATCCCATAAGCTGCTTTTCCTTAGGAACCCAGGCTCAAACGCGCCGTCTGTGCCCAGGCTCTCCCCCTTCTCCCTCGTTCAGCCCCTTTTCCTTTCCCACGTTCTCCTGAGCATCACCCACACCACCTTCCTGGTCCCCATCCCAACACCAGGAGATAAGCACAGAGGCAAACGCCACGGCGCTGTGATTTAATTCCCAATGAACAACGGTGCAAATCCAAATTCAAATTTAAGCCTTTGGACAGATTTCCAACCTGGTCCCGATGCCGCAGAAGCACTACGTGGGTTTCCATCTATGCGTGCATACAATGAAATGAGAAACAACCACGCAGCCCACGAGCACCTTTTTCTCCCATCTCTCAACACCATCCAGCCTGGGCAGGGCAGAGCACCGAGCCTCCAAGCCCTGCACACACACACACCAGGCAGCACAGCACAGCACAGGCACCATCCATCCACACACAGCCGATGCCATCGCACTGCAGGCAGCCAGAGCCAAATCCCTCCGAAACCCTTCCTCCCAAGCACACCAGCTGCTTAATTTTATTGGATTTTTTTTTTTTTTTTTTTGTAATTAAAAGCAATTAAACCAAATGTATTAAAAGCATATTCAAAACCACAGGGGGTGGTGCTGGAAGGAACGGCGCGGGGGCGGCGGGGAGGGCAGCGATGGATGGAGCGAACTGCCATCCAGGCTGGGCGGCGGGGGAAGATGGATAGAGGCAGGAGCAGGGGATGCAGATCTGCTCACCACGTCTGCAGCAAGATTAATTCCCGGCCATTTCCATTCCTCCAGCTGCTGCTGTGTCGGGAGCAGCACAGGGACCTTCCCACACCTCGTCCTGGGGCAGGGCTTCCCCGGCACCAGGTCACTGGGGCTCTGCCAAGGAGCTCGGGGCTGAAGGCACGGCTCTGCAGCAGAGAATGGCTGCTGGGAGCTGGGCTAACGAAGCTGTGTTAATGAAGCACGCCTCAGCTAACGCGGTGGGTCAGGAGCAGAGCCATGCACAGCTTCAGGAGGAGTCAGAACCCGAAAATACGGGAGGATGCTGCAGGACCTGGCTCCAGGAGAGCCCCTGTGCCCTCTGCAGCCCTACACCAAGCACTTGGGATGGGGCTGAGGGCGGCACACAGCTCCTACGGGACAGAAATCCACCCTACAGCCCACAGCAGACAGGCTCCCTTCACCAACACAGAGCACAAGGTTGCAGGAAGACCCAAAAAACAAGAACAAAATTCCTATCCCCCTCATTTCATTCCCAGTGCAAACCCCAAGAGATCATTCCTGCCTCACCCCAAACCCCAGAGACCCACAGCAGCATCACCAAGCACCTCCCACCACCCCAAGGGCAAGCACCCCATTTCAGGGCCGTGAAACACAGCAGAACTCCCCGAAAGCACCCAACAGGGCTCTGCTGCTCTGCTACCATTCTCAGGACGGCTGCAGGAGGGCTTTGCTGGCACGGCAATGTCCCCTTGCAGGATGGGGGGATGGTGTCCCCTCTATGCTCCAGATTAGGCTGGAAAAACCCACGGCAGAGCTGGAGCAGAGAAGCAGGAATGCCCCGATAAATCTCTGCGTTTCACTGTACAGACCCCAATACGGCGCCGTGTGCCACCGCCTGTGCAGCACACAAACACCAACACACAGCACAGCCACCCACCCAAGAAAAGAGCACCCTGAGCCCACGGGGAAAGCAGATTTTTATTGTTATCACTACGCTCTGCTCCCGACTGCAGCCAACCATCCACAACCCCATCCCCACCAGCCTCCACCTCCCCCGGACGCAGCGGCTGCCAAGAACAGCACGGAGGTGGGGCAGGGAAGGGACAGAGCCGGACACCACCCCCTATGAGGACCGGGGACCGACCCCCTCCCCCAGCTCCATACACAGCACCCTCCTCCATCTGCAGCCCAAATCCCACTGCCACCGTCACCCCGCCCTTGGAAAATACCCCCAGTTCCAAGAAAATACCCCCAGCAATGCCCCCCCCGCCCCCGAGCCCCAGGCTGGGGGTTGCCTACACGAAACATTTCTGCAGGTATTTATTTTAGGAGGGAGCTGGGACGGCTCCAACAGCCGCGGATGGGGGGGAGGAGGGGGGTCACAGCCGGGGCCAGAGCTGCTCTATTTAAAGGCGCTGCTGCTGCCCGCCGCCCTTCGCCCCTTGCGCAAGGCTCCATTCCAAAAAAACCAACCCAAATGGAACAACAACAGCAGCAAAGAAGGAGAAACAAACACAGACACCAACACCGAACCGATGGGCTCGGGGTGCTGCGCTGGGCTGAAATAAAGATAAATCCCTGCGGCACGATGGGATGGGGCTCAGCGCGTCCCTTCGGTGACAAATCTGCAGCTGTGCAAGTGGAGGGACGGAGGGAAAGGGCAGAAATGGTGATTTTGAGGGGTGGGGGGGAGGGAAATAACAAAAAAAATGCTATAGGAAAAATCTGCCCAACAGCAAACTGACCCGATGTGCACAGCGTCCATACGGAACGCTGCAGACTGCCTTCTGCTGTATAGGAAGGAGGTGGGGGGGAAAGGAAAACACGGCGCAAGAAGGGAGCTAAAATATTGATAAAAACAGATTAAAAAGGAGTTAAAATAAAAAGCAAAAGGGAGGAAGCAGGCAGGGGTGCTGGAGCGCCGTGCAGCCCTTGGTTTGGTAATTCCCTCTGCAGATTTGGGCACCGCCGCCCAGCACTGCGCTCATGGACACCGAGCTGATCGGCCGGGCTACGGGAGAAGGGCAGAGGGCTGCGGTTGGGAAATGAGCTGCTCTCCTCAGCAGCACACAACAACCACCCTACGGCTGGGGGGAGAAAGGGGCAAAAATGGGAGGGGAATGGGGAAAAAGAGGGGGGGGAGGGAGAGGAAAAAAGGTGGGGAAAAAGAAAAGGGAAGGGGGAAGGGAAAAAAGAGGGAGAAGAAGCAAAAAAAAAAAAAAGAAAAAAAGACAGCAAAGCAAATCCAAGGGGCAAAGTCCCATCGCGCCGGAGAGCGGCGGCTCAGAGGGAGGAAAGTGGGAGATGGAGCCAACAGCCCATGGGGCAACAGCACAGAAAGCAGAGTGCTGGGGAAAAAAAGGCAAAAAAAAAAAAGAAGGAAAAGAGAATTTTTTTTTTAAATGGATGGGTGGGTTGGGTGCCCACAGACGGAGGATGAAAATGAAAGACAATAAAAATAATAACAACAATAGGAGGCAATAGGGGCAGCCCCACACCGCTGCCTTCCCTCTCCGCTTCCCCCAAATCCGCCCTCCATTCCCTGCTCTGTAAGGGACGGCCCCACAGCCAGGCAGGGATTTTCCACCCTGCTGAGATTTCCCGAATCCCTGCCATAAGTCGCCACGCACAAACGGCCGGCAGCGATTTTCCCCCATTCCCATCGTTTTCTTTTTTGCTTTCCCTGTTTGTTGGGTATTTTTTTTATCCCCCTCCGCCCCAAGCAAAGCCTTCGGGAAAAGCCGTGCACAGAGCAGAGCCCTGAACAACATACAGGGCATGGATCTGGGGCTCAGAACCACACGGAGTTGGGGCTGCAGAGAACAAATCTGGTGTTTATAGCACCGATATTCAGGATTGTGGAGCACGGATATCTGGGCTTTAAACCACCAATATTTGGAGCTTAAAACACAAATCCTTGACATTCTGGAGCGCTCACATTTAAGATTAACAGCGTGGGTCTTTGGGCTCAAAAGCACAGATATTTGGGGCTCTAAAACACGCATTTTGGGGACTCCAAAGCAGACAAATCTGGGCTTGCAGGCACGTATGCTTGGGGCTGGGGAGCGCGCAGATCCGGGCTCTTAGCACAGATCTTCAGGCTCCAAAGCACGGCTATTGGGGGCTCCAAAGCACGGCTGGGGTTTTACAGCACATCGCTTCGGGGTTTCAAGCACAGATATTTATGGACTAAACCATTAGGATTTGGGACTCCAGAGTCTGTGCATTTCAGATATAAAGCACGGATCTCTGGGACTCGGGAGCATGAATCTTGGGGGTTAAAAACGCAGATATTTGGGGCTTGAAAGCACGGGTATCTGGGGTTTAAACTGTGTCTGCGTGGGATTTAATGCGTGAAAATTTGGGATGTGAAGCACAGGTATTTGGGACTCTGGAGCGCACACAGGCTCAGCAGCTCAGCTATTTGGGGTCTAAAGCTCATCTATTCGTGGCTCCCAAACACTGGGATCAGCAGTGCAGGATTGTGGGCGCTGGGGTTTTAAAGCACATCTGTCTGGGGTTTAAAGCTCAGAGATCCGGGCTCTAAAGCACAGATTTTTAGGGTCTAAAACACAGATAAATATAGGATTCAAAGCGTGGATACGCACGGCTGCGACCCGTGAATATTTAAGACTCTGGAACGCACATATCTTGGGTTTACAGCACGGAATTCGGGGCTTTAAAACACAAGACTTAGGGAACGGAGAGCGCGCATACGCGGGCTCCACAACACGGCGATTCGGGGCTCGAGGAGCCTCTATTCGGGGCTCTAAAGCACGGAACGCTGGGGCTCGGGACCAAACGCAGTCGGGGTTTCAACGCGCGGATCTCGGCACTGCAATGCACGGCTCCCCGGGGTTTAAAGCACCGCTCCCCGGGCTTGAAGGCACGGCTCGCTACGAGTCGGCTGTACAGCACGGCTGAAGTCTGGGCTCGCACAGCTCGGTTCCGCGTCGCGCCCAGCGCTCTTACCGGGGTGCGCGTGGAGGCCGATGCCGGACGCCAGGAACTTGCCGGGCTGCAGCGCTGCGGGCAGCCCCGCGGCCAGGGGCGCGGAGGGGGGCAGGCGGCCGGCGGCCAGGCGGTGCCCGTCCATGGGCAGCCCCGAGAGCAGCGGCGGGGGGGGGCCGTGCGCCGAGCGGGGGGGGGGCCCGAAGTCTCGGCCATCCATCATCCGCTCGCCGGCTTCCAAGAGTCTCCCGGATCGCTGTCGGTGTTCGCCGCCGATTTCTCCCCCCCCCCCCCCCCCCCCCCCCCCCCCCCCCCCTTTTTTTTTTCTTTTTTTTTTTTCTTCTGCTTCTGCCGCTTCTCCCCCCAAAAAATCAGACGGTTTTCAAGAACAAGGCGTCCGAGCGTGCCATGGCGCGGTGCAGGGTGCCAGCCCCCGGCTCGGTGCTGCCTGCGGAGAGAGAGCGGGCGGCGGTGAGAACGGGAGAGCGGCCGCCAGAGCCGCCCGGGGAACGGAGCGGAGAGGAAGGGGGGTTTAAAAGCGGGGGAAGAAACGACGGGAACGTTAGGCAGGAATTAAGGAGAGGGACGGAATTGTAAAGGAGAAAAAAAAAAAAAGAAGAAAAAAATAATGGCGCGGAGCGGAGCCGCCCCGCGGAGCGGAACAGCGCGGCACCGCCGGAGAGCGAAAAGAAAGGAGAAGATACAGAAATATCCTCCTTAAATCCTCTCCTCTCTTTCGGATCGCTCTGTACGGACGGTTCCGGCGCGGGGCCGCAGCCGCTGGGACGGGCGGCGCTGAGCGGCCGCAGCGCTCCGAGCTTCTGGCAGCATCGCAAACACACGGAGGCGGCTCCGCCGGGATCCCAGCCGTTCGTGGGGAAACAAAGCGGGGGAAACGGAGAGAAATGGGGGAGGGGGGTTGGAAAGGGAAAAGAGGGGAAAAAGGGAAAGGGGGGAGAGAAATCGGGGGGAAAAAAGGAGGGGAGAAGAGATCGAAAAGAAAAAAAAAAGGGCGGGGGGGAAGGAAAAGAAAAGAAAAAAAAGGAGAAGGAAAAAAGGAGAAAAAAAAAGGGAAAAAGGCGAAAGAAGAGAAAGAAAAAAGGAAAAAAACGGGGAAGGAAAAAAGGCGAAAAAAAACGGGGGGAAGCGAACGGGGAAAAAAACGAGGGAAAAACAGGGGAAAAAAGGGGGAAAGGGGAGAAAAAAAGGGGGAGAAGAGGGGGAGAAACGGGGAAAAAAGGGGGAGAAACGGGGGAAAAAAGGAGGAGAAAGACGGGAAAACGGGGAAATAATGGAAAAAAAAGAAGTGGGGGAATGAAAGGAAAAGGGGGACAGAAACGGGGAGAAACGGACGAAAAGAGAGGGAAACAGGAAAAAAGAAAAGAGGAAAAAAGGGGAGGGAAAAGGAGAAAAAAGGGGAAAACAGGAAAAGGGGAAAAAAGAGGGAGAAGGGGGGAAAAGGGAAGAAATGGAACGAAAGGAAAAAGAGGGTAGAAAAGAAGGAAAAAAACGAGGGAAAGAAAAAAGGGGAAAAAAGAGGGAATAAAAGGGGGGGAAGAGAAAAAAGGAACGGGGGGACAAGATGGGAAGAATTGGGGGAAAGCGGGGAAGAAAAGAGGGGAAAAAAGTCAATTTAGAAGGATGGAAAGAAGAGGGGGAGAAGGAAATTAAAGCAGCGAGATGGAAGGTGAACGAGAGAGGAGAGGAAAAATAAGGAAAAGAATGCGGGAAAACGGGAGAAAAGCAAAGAAAATGGAAACGAAAGGAGAAAAAGGAATCAAAGAAACGGATATAAAAGGAAAAAAAAGATGGAAAGCACGGGGGAGAAACGTGAAGGGGGGGGGGAGAAAACGAGAAAACGGGGGGAAAAAAAAATCTGAAACGGGCAAAATAAGAACGGTGAGGAGAAAAAAAAGTGTCGGGAGGGAGAAATAAAGCAGAGGGGAGGAAAAACCAGCGCCGAAGAGCGGCGGAACGGAAAACAGCGGCGAAACACGGCGCTACGAACGGGACGGGGCGGGAGGGCCGGGCGGCAGCGTCCGCGGTAACAGCCGGGCGGAGAACGGCAAGCGGGGAGCGAAGCGAGCGGGGCGCGGGGCCGCCGCCGTCCTACCTGGCGCTCAGGCCGCCTGCTCGCGGCCCATGGCGGCGGCGCGGCGGGCCGGGGCCCGGCGGGGGGTGCGGGCGGCGCG